AATACCGACTTCTGAGCATGGGCCATGAAGTTTCAGTCACACTGTACGTGCACGCCCGCACCTGGTATTTTGTGGAAGAGCCACACTCAAGGGGCCAAAGAGCCGCATGTGGCTCGCGAGCCGCAGTTTGCCAACCACGGATCTAGAGCATTTCACAGGCTTTCATTGCTTTATGACATTGACATTTTTGAAGAATAAGGCCTTACAAGGGACTGGCTCCCCAGAGTCATGGTGGGAATTAGCATTTAAAAGCTTAAAAGCTCCGGAGTATAATGTCTCCGCACAGCCCATCTACAGGGTTGAGAAGTCATCTCCTTGTAACTAACTGACCACTCTTCACCGCACATTCCAAGTGACTTCATATCGCTGATCCTAACTTAACATTTTTCTCCCTGTTCTTGAAAATTTAATCCATTATTCAGTGTCGGATACACTTCCACACAGAATCAGTCAGGCCTCCGATTATTCAGATCTTCCCAGAATGTGTAAGCCTGGCAGGACTTTTTCCTGATTTTTTTTGGTTTTCAGGGTTATGGTTGAGAGTCCCAGGGCTGGGGCTGTGATGGAGCCAAACCACTTGTTTTCACGGGGCTTCAGTTTCCGTCTCTAGGAGGAGGCCTGTGGACCAGTTGACGTGCTAATTTTTTAAAAAAATATATTTTATTGATTTTTTTACAGAGAGGAAGGGAGAGGGATAGAGAGAAACATTGATGAGAGAGAAACATCGATCAGCTGCCTCCTCCACACCCCCTACTGGGGATGTGCCCGCAACCAAGGTACATGCCCTTGACCGGAATCGAACCCGGGACCCTTCAGTCCGCAGGCCAACGCTCTATCCACTGAGCCAAACCTGTCAGGCCCACGTGCTAAGTTTTTGTACGTTCTTGTAGATTGGCAGATTCTAAGTCCTCCTGGTTGTCTATACCCTACAGATCTGCCCTTTAGCTGGAAAACTCGCCTCAGCACTGCCATTTTAGTCTCCTGAAGTGCATAGGTAGACCCTCATTTAGCTTCTCAGTACCTGCTGGGGCGTGGAAATTACAACGCACACGTGACTGAGGATTTTTCTCATCTGATCTGCTGTCCCTTAGGTCTTCGTTGTTCTTGTTCTTTCATCGTGTTTCCTGCAAAGCCACTTCTCTGCCCTTTGACAGTGAGCCCCTTGGGAGCGCCAGCTGTTCTGGACTTGGCCCTGGGGGGCTGCAGCCTCACGTGCCAGTCTCCCAGTCGCTGGAGACATCTTCCTGTCTCCCTTGCTGCCATCACTTCTATTCCCGCGAGGCTTTAGCAGTCAGATTTTCTAGTCTCCGGGGGAAGAGAATAAGATAGGCGCCCAGAATATAGGCATAAGGAGGTCTCGGATTTAAAGAGAGATGAAGGGTTAAGCAGCGCGAACAGGCCTTGGTGTCTTAGCTCGAGTGCTTCCAAAAGCCCCCTACCTGCCTGACCCCTACACTGATGTGGCTCATTCTTTCATCGACTATCGCTTTACTTAACAAAGCAGTGTCTCTGTTTGCCTGCATTTTCGCTGAGCTCGGGTACAAAGATGAGCATCGATGGCCCTGCCCACAGGGACTCAGCTGTTAGGGAAATAGATGCAAAACAGTGTCACTAGAACCTGAGTCATGGACATAGAAGGCTCCACTGCCTTGTCCTGAAGGCTTGAAAAAACATTTTTTTCCCCTAAAGTTTACACACACTCAGGTATAGGGTGGCTCTGCCACCTTTTTGGTTTTTTTTTTTTTAAATTTTACTGATTTCAGAGAAGAAGAGAGAGGGAGAGAGAGAGAAGCATCAATGATGAGAGAGAATCATGGATCGGCTGCCTCCTGATCGCCCCACACTGGGGATGGAGCCCACAACCCAGGCATGTGCCCTTGACCGGAATTGAACCCGGGACCCTTCAGTCCGCAGGCCGACGCTCTATCCACTGAGCCAATCCAGCCAGGGCGCCCTGGCACCTTTTAGGAAGGTTGTCAGGAATCCGCGGATCAGGCACCTCCTCACAGCAAGCTTCTCTATGACTGTGACCTGTCCTCCCCTGAGAATATCGATTTGACTGTGCAGTTCTGCCACCCTTGTCCTCAGCAAAACCTCATTTCCTATTCAGAGACCAGGAGGCACAGTGGTAATTGTAGAGCACGTGTTTGTACAGTGGGGCCTTGACTTACGAGTGTCCCCACTAACGAGTTTTTTGAGATACCAGCTGTCTCTCGGCCGATTTTTTGCATTGAGTTGATAGAGTAATTTGAGTTAATGAGCTCCTTAACGCGCTCGGTCTCGGAACGAATTAAACTCGTAAGTCAAGGCCCCACTGTACTTGCTTATAAATTTTCTTCCCCCCCTCTGGCTCCCCCCAGACATTTCATGCTCAGGGTGTTCCTTCTTCCCTGCAGGTGAGAAATGAGCTAAGTCCCTGTGGTTGGTATCTTGTTTGGTCTCCAAGTCAACTTCAGAAACGGGGAGGAGGATACGTATTGGGGTGTGGCTCTTCCCGGCCTTCTAAAGTCTCAAGGAGCAAAGGAACACCTCCCATGTCTGATAATTACGTCTTTGGCTGAACAGACAATTTAGTAGGTGGTAGGTTTATCCTTGAAACATAATTTTAGGGACTGTTTCCTCAAGTGTATTCTGACGATGTGAAAATATCCAGTATGAGTTCTCAGAGAAATCCCTTAACTGTAGCAGCAGCATTGGCATGAATTTGTTAAAACTATAATCTTAGGCCTCATATTAGACCTGAATCAAAAACTGGCTGCGGCCCAGAAATCTGAATTAACAAGCCCTTTCAGTGACGCTGACGATGCTGACGTTTGAGAAATACCGATAGAGTATACATTATGGCTTCACTCTGGCTGGTGTTAATAGTCAAATCAAAATAGAATATGAGAGATTTAACAGCATTTTTTATCCAGAACCAATGGTTTTAAAAATACAGCCTTAGCTTAGTTTCCATTTTCATTTATTTTGTCACAAGAGATAAAACCAGGAGTCGATATTGCACAGCCAAAATGTAAATGGAGCTAGAAGAAACCTCTTGAGCGCAAGAGCTAAGATACACATGGTCTGCCTTTTGGGTAATTAGGTCAGAATTGGTGTTGTCGGAACCTTCAAGCTAAACGATCCGGAAGCATCTTTGAGAGAAAAATCATTGTGCTTTGCTTTTGATCACAGAGAAAAGTGGAAGCGGGCGCCCTCAGAAGATGAACAGGAGCCAGGCAGCGATGCAGAGAGTGAACCAGAGCAAAACACAGTGAGAGCCCGGAGGCCTTTCCCCAGAAGGTGCAGTGTTTGCTCGGACATCTCCGCCTCTGGGGGAGCGTTGTCTGTGTTAGATCGAGAGGGCGCGGTGCTAGGGAGAGATGGGACACAGTGTGCGGTGCCTCTGGGATTCCAGTGTCTGTGGTTCACTTCTTGCCAGCCTGCATCGTTAGCCAGTGACAGCATGGCGGGGCGTTTACATGATCTGTAGCTCAGAGTGACTTACTGTTTCCTACTCCATGGTGGATTAGTGATGTGGGAAGAACGTGTCTTCTCTTTAAAAAGCTCCCTGTGGCCCAGGCCCGTGGTCGGCAAACCGCGGCTCGCCAGCCACATGTGGTCGGCAAACCGTGGCTCGTGAGTCACATGCGGCTCTTTGGCCCCTTGAGTGTGGCTCTTCCACAAAATATGTGGCCCATGCGCAGAAGTCGGTATTTTGTGGAAGAGCCGGTATTTTGTGGAAGAGCCACACTCAAGGGGCCAAAGAGCCGCAAGTGGCTCGCGAGCCGCGGTTTGCTGAGCCGCAGTTTGCCAACCACTGGCCCAGATGGACTGACTCATTGGTTGAGCATCGACCGCGAGGTCACAGTTCCCTTCGCAGTCAAGGCACGTGCCTGGGTTTTGGGCTCGATCCCCAGTAGGGGGCATGCAGGAGGCAGCCCATCAGTAATTCTTTCTTACCATTGATGTTTTTATCGCTCTCCTCTTCTCTCTTCCTTTCTCTCTAAAATCAATAACAACATATTTTATAATAATGTACCACTTTTCAATTTTTTTAAATGGTACAGCCACTGTATTCTTATTTATTTATTTTAAATCCTCACCCGAGGATATTTTTTCGTTGATTTTCGAGAGAGTAGAAGAGAGAGGGAAAGACAGAGAGAAAGATCGATGTGAGAGAAAAACATCGATTGGTTGCCTCCTGCACACACCCCGACCAGGGCCGGAACCAGGGAGGAGCCTGCAACCGAGGCATGTGCCCTTGACCGGAATTGAACCCGGGACCCTTTAGTCCGCAGGCCGATGCATTATCCACTGAGCCAAACTGGCTAGGGCTAAAAACATATTTTTAAAAAAGTTTAAAAACCTCCTTTTTGAGGGAACTAATTCTTAAGTTTCTAAAACTGACTGGTCAAAAGCATTCTTCACTGTTTATTACCTTGTTCATATAATCTATGTAACATTAAACAGAGAATCTAATTGTCGGAGAAGGAAGTAGGCCGAGTGGCGGGAAAGTGGTCCTTCTTGATCAGATGGATGGCATCATAGGATACTGGCGTGGGTGAAGGAAGGCGGGAGGCAGAGGGGCCCCGGGAAACCTGACGACCTTGCGATGTGGTGTAGGTTGGGGTTGGCAGGCGATTGCTTTGGGGCCAGATCCCACTCCCCACCTCATTTTGTACGGCCCGCCGGCTCAGTATAGCTTTATAGATGAACATTGGTAGTTTGACAAATAGGGAACACTAAGTGTGAATTTCAATTCAGTGACATGTTATCCCTTAAAAAATAGTGCTGTTCTTCTCCTTAGTCAATATGTATCACAAAAAATATACTCGATGATGATTACTTTATTGTCAATTTTGTCACTCAAAAATACCTGAAAATTTATTTTCTCTCGCTATGTAAGTACCTATGAGGTGGCCTCAGTTTTGTCTCTTGTCTGGGAAAACCCCAAATCTTCACACCCTCTGGCTGTTTACAGCAGAATGTTTGCCTACCCCTGGTTCAGGACACGGCACTTGTCGTCCCCCCCCCCCCCCACCCCCTCAGCAGAATTCATCAACTGAGATGTGTCCCCTTTCATCCGAGTTAAGCGCAGTGTTGGGATGGCACTCCAGTTCCATCTGCAAGATTTTATCCATCATTTATTGAATCCTGGGTCTTGAATCCTCTGTGTAGCATTGGTTATGGCAGGCCAGAGAGAAGGAGATAGATGTGATAACGAGTTTTCATCCTCCATTTTCTCCTTTCACCTTTTTACCACCGATAGAGCGGTATTTTGGGGGTTTCCTTGTGTGAGCTCCCGGGTTATGGCGCTCAGTCCTGGCCATGGGTGGGAGTCGGCACAGGGCATATCCTCGGTCTGTTCCATTGGTCTGTGCGGGTCAGTCTCCCAGGTGACCTTCCAGTACATTCTGTGCACCTATAAGAAAAATAAATGTGTAGTTACTTCTTACTCTTTTTCCATTTATACAGATAATACATTCCATGCTTCTTTTATATATTTTTTTTCATGATCTTGGCAATCTTTCTGTATCAGTACATGGAACCCCCTCCCCCCTTTTCTTAATGGCTCCATAGTATCTTATTTATTGAACTAGTTCCCAGTTGATGGACACTTAGAGTGTTTCTAATCTTTTGTAATTGCAAATAATACTCCGGTGAATACCTTAATATGCCTGGACCGGTGTCTATCTGTAAGATCAATTCCCAGAAGTAAAATTGTTATATTAGTCAGTTTGGGAGATATTTCCAAATTGCCCACCAAAGAGATGCCACCAGCAACGCGCTTGTGTGTATTTTTATATCAGGTGATCCTGAGGGTCAGTGGCGGACCTTTGCCTCAGAACCCGCTGTGTCTCCTGTCAATGCTGGCGGACTGTTAGCATTAGCATCACGCCCATGTGGAAGATGCAGATTTCCAGTGAATTAGAATCTCAGAGAAAAGGGGACCCAGGAACATACATTTCCAACATTCCCCTGGTTAAGCCTACGTATGTCCCCCTGCCCTGGGAAAAAGAATGATCCAGATTTGAAGTAAATACCAAATGCTAGAGTAAAACTGCTTTTTTTTTTTATCTTCTCATTCCAGAACAGTGCCCAAACCTCGTGTTAAAAAGCAGCCGAAAGCTCAGCGTGGAAAGAAAAAAAAGCAAGAGTCGTCTGATGACGATGATGAAGACGATGAAGCTCCCAAAAGGCAGACTCGTCGCAGAGCGGCCAAAAATGTGAGGTAGGTCATGCCCCGGAAGCTTTTCCTTAGTGTGAGGGCGATCGTTGGAGTGGCTTGCCCTTGGTTCTCAGCCCCCGATTATGCATCTGGTGGGCAGAGATGCTGACCTGTGTCCCGTGGAGGCATTTGGAAATCTGGTCTGTGTGGGTGCAGAGAGAATGGTGTTGGCCAGCGGGAATATGGAATAAGTAGCAGCAGCTCATTTCAAGCCTTCCTTCCTATCAAGACAGCTGCCTCAAGTTCACGGCCTGTCGAGGTCGCTAGTGATGTGACCTTCATTTCATAACATCCCCTTTTAGGAACGATGTTTGGGTGTGTGCTAGAGTCTCTCACTTACTCCGCATTGTGCCTCTGCAGCTATAAAGAAGATGATGACTTCGAGACCGACTCAGATGACCTCATTGAGATGACTGGGGAAGGAGTGGATGACCAGCAGGACAGTAGTGAAACCATTGAAAAGGTCTTAGACTCACGGCTAGGCAAGAAAGGAGGTATGTGCCTTTGGCAAGCAAATTCCTTTTTTTTATCTGCTCAGTCAGACCCAAATTTTACATATTTCAACTCTGAAATGATGCATGTCAGCCCATGCCCATATCTGTCCTGAAATAGGGAATTTTTTCTGACCCCCATCTTCATTATGTCAGAGCTGAGAATGGAGGGGTGCATTCCACGTGTTTTTGAGATTTTAAAATGAAGCTAATAAAGATGTGTTACTGTCTTAAAAAGCAGTGATGTAGCAGAGGTTCTTGCTCATTGACGTTGAGCTAATACGCTTTTTAGTTCCTGAATCTCCTTGTGAAAAATATGAAACTGGTAAAATGCATATTTGGATGATAATGAAGATTGTTTTATATTTAAATTGAGATAGAACTCAATTTCTTTAAAGTAATCTTGCTATAAAGGAAATGTCAAGGTAACACCTAATGAATTTTTTTCTGTCTTCTTTGTTCATCCAACCTCATTTGAAGTTATGAGTTAACAGTTAACTTTGGGTAGATGGTAACTGGTGGAGATACATTTAGTTTCTTACCTTTTCCATCATATTCCTGGATGGATGGATTTCTTTTCTGAGTTAGTAGGGACCAGAATAAAAGGGTGTTGTTATTTTATTTTTACTGTATTTGGACACAAGGATCTCTTTGATTTCACTGGCAAGTTTTGGGATATGTTTTAAAGTATAAAAATTGAGTTTGCATTTTGAAAACATTGGAAATTATTGATCTCATTTATCCTGTATTGCTTACAAATTTCTGCTTCTTTCAAGTCAAAGGATTTTGGTGCTTCATCTGAGAATAGACTCTTTAGACAATTGTGTACTTGGGAAACTTTTCAGTGTCTGGTTGCATGTACTTTATCTAAAATGTGTTAAAACTGAATCCTTTTGCAGCCACTGGAGCGTCTACTACAGTGTATGCGGTTGAAGCTAACGGAGACCCAAGCGGTGACTTTGAACCGGAGAGCGATGAAGGCGAAGTCCAGTACCTCATCAAGTGGAAGGGTTGGTCTTATATCCACAGCACGTGGGAGAGCGAAGAGTCCTTGCAGCAACAGAAAGTGAAGGGCCTGAAAAAACTCGAGAACTTCAAGAAGAAAGAGGATGAAATCAAGCAATGGTACATTTTCCATCCTGGGTTAAAGAAATACGTTTGCAGCCCGAGGGACAGGAAGGTTCAATGTCCCTGGACATCAGACCTGTCCGTGTAATGTGGTCAGGTTACTTTGTGTTAGGAATAGGGACAGATGAGTCCTATCTTTGTTTGTTTTTTAAATTTTTAAGAAAACATTTTTATTGATTTCAGAGAGGAAGGAAGAGGGAGAGAGAGATAGAAACATCAATGATGACAGAGAATCATTGATCTGCTGCCTCCTGCACGCCCCTTACAGGGGATCGAGCCCGCAACCTGGGCATGTGCCCTGACCAGGAATCGAACCTATAACCTCCTGGTTCATAGGTCGACACTCAACTGCTGAGCCACACCGGCTGGGCCAGATGAGTTATAATTTCTGTTTTACTACAGTGCAAAATATGCTACTTCACTAAATCACATATTTTTCCTTTGAGTCAAAGACAATAATCTGTGTCATTAAGATACAAGTGGCTTATATATTTAAAATTTAAAATTCTCAGAAGTATGGTGAGATCTAATTGTAGGTGGCCGCTGTTGTCCTTTTAATGAGCTTCAGTGCTAAGAATAACTCGTTTTCAAAAAAGTCACATTGAATCACTCCTGTAGCCCATTCATTATATGTTAAAAAAGGCATGTCATCTTTTCAATCTGGAAGACAGTTTTATCCTCTTGGTCTGTTTAGATATATTAATTTATCCCATGAAATGACATGAATTGGTCACAACACAGTTATGTTTAGGTTTCTTGTAAATCGGCCACACGGAGAGGCGTCTACGGTGTTGTGTTTTCTAAAAGTGTGTGTGTTTTGTAAAGTCTCCGGCCTCGTTACTAGATACTAAAGGGGCAGATGGAAGTGAAGACAGAGTTTTTCCCTCCCTTGGACTTTGCTTTGATAGATGTCTATGGATCCCCCAGATTTAATGAGCGGTACTTTTTCTGTCCGTCTTCTGTCTAGGCTGGGGAAGGTTTCTCCCGAAGATGTGGAATACTTCAACTGCCAACAGGAGCTGGCCTCAGAGCTGAACAAACAGTATCAGATAGTAGAAAGAGTGATAGGTAAGAGCATGGAAACTTACTTTATGTATGTATGTATGTATGTATGCATGCATGTATACATGCATGCATGTATGTATTTATCTAGTGCTGATTATAGTGATAACTTCTCTCTCTTACTATCCATTGTTTAGCTATGAAGACAAGCAAATCTACACTGGGTCAAACTGATTTTCCAGGTAAGCAATTGCTCCTGTTTGTTAATGTTCAGCATTTCTGAGCAGTTGATGTTTCGCAGTGTTCACAGTTCTGCCACATGATGTGTCCTTGGTTATAATGTCAGTCCCCTCCTGGAAGGGACAGCGGCTTACCTGTACCTTTTTCCACGTGAAACAGCTCACAGTCGGAAGCCGGCACCTTCGAATGAACCCGAGTATCTGTGCAAATGGATGGGCCTGCCCTACTCAGAGTGCAGCTGGGAAGACGAAGCCCTGATCGGAAAGAAATTCCAGGGCTGCATCGACAGCTTCCACAGCCGGAACAACTCCAAAACCATCCCGACGAGGGAGTGCAAGGTGCGGTGCTGGCGGCTTCGGTGTTGTAGGGGAAAGATGTGTCGATACAAAGGACTGGGCACGGAGCTATTGGGAAGATAAACTGTTACAAAAATAAAGGATCATTTCCATTTTGGAAATGAAAGAAGATGAATTAACCTGCACACCAAAGGAAAATAAGAGGAGAGGATGAGTTGAAGAAGGCTTTGCTGACTTGCTGAATCTTATAATTTATAGAATGAGATACATCTAATTAGAGATATTGTAGAGAATACTTGAAATACTTTTTATTGATTGTAGAGAGAAAAGAAGGGAGGGAGGGGGAGAGAGAGAAACATTGATGGGCTGCCTCCTGCACGCCCCCCACTGGGCATCGAGCCTGCAACCTGGGCATGTGTCCTTGACCAGGTATCGAACCATTGACCTTTTGGTGCATGGAACTACACTCAGCCAACTGAGCCACACAGGCCAGGGTGAAATAATTTGAACACTTTATTTATTTATTTGTTTATGATATATATTTTATTGATTTTTTTTTACAGAGAGGAAGGGAGAGGGATAGAGAGTTAGAAACATCGATCAGCTGCCTCCTGCACACCCCCTACTGGGGATGCGCCCGCAATCAAGGTACATGCCCTTGACCGGAATCGAACCTGGGACCCTTCAGTCTGCAGGCCGACGCTCTATCCACTGAGCCAAACCGGTTAGGGCTAATTTGAACACTTTAAAGAGGAGTGATGGAAAGGGGAACATCTCTCAATTTTAAGTTAGATACTAAGTATATCAGCTTTTCTATTGGCTAGATTGGTTGTATACAATCTTTTCCCTCACTGGAATTCATTCTGAAGTGGTGTCCTTGGCTCTTTAGTAATAAAAGTATATGTAAGACATGGGCTCTGTCTCTGAGAGGTTGATGAACCTCTGGATGGTCTTTAAACATTCAGGTTTATGGCACCCGGGAGGCTGTGTGATTCTGGGAATACGGACCACAATGAAAGAAGTGGCGCTGGGTTGCTGATTCCGATGTGAAGTTTGGATTTGTACGCTTTGGTGCTGAACACGTAACTCATGGCCAGTAGCGTTTTAGCATAGGAACAGGAAGGAAGTTTTTCCTGACCCGGGGCTTGGCTCCTTTTCTTTTTCAGGCCCTGAAGCAGAGGCCACGGTTTGTGGCCTTAAAGAAACAGCCGGCATATTTAGGAGGGGAGAACCTGGAGCTCCGGGACTACCAGCTCGAAGGGCTCAACTGGCTGGCTCATTCCTGGTGCAAGTAGGTAGACAAAGATGTCCGAACTTCTCTTTACTGTGTTTGGCTTCTTTATTGCTAGAGGCAGAGAATTACTTCTTGGTACTGTGCAGTGTAGAAATTTTAAAATTATGTGATTGAGAGGAGTCTACCGTGTTAATCTGAAGTCAAGAGTACAGCCAGCTTTTCAGATCCACGCAGCCAACCAATACTGGATGGAAGATATTCCGGGGGAAGGAGTTTGGTGAAAATTAAACCTGTTTCCTTTCAGTAGGAAACATGAGGAGTATGAGGGAAATAACTCAGGAATAGTCTGTATCTGAACCGTATGTCACATAGGTGTATTCCAGGTTTATAGAGGTGTGGCCGCCTCCTTCTCCCTTCCTCAAGTATATTCTGCTTTGTTCTTTTGTGTACTTTCCCCCTAAATTAAAATTGTAATCTCTTCTTGGTGAATCAAGAAGAGAATTAATCTTTGATTAATCCTCACCCGAAGATATACTTAATTTTTTTTTTTTTTTTTACAGAGAGGAAGGGAGAGGGATAGAGAATTAGAAACATCGATGAGAGAGAAACATTGATCAGCTGCCTCCTACACACCCCCTACTGGGGATGTGCCCGCAACCAAGGTACATGCCCTCGACCGGAATCGAACCTGGGACCCTTGAGTCCGCAGGCTGCCGCTCTATCTACTGAGCCAAACCGGTTAGGGCTAATTTTTAAAATTGATTTTAGAGAGAGAGTAGAAGGGGGCGGGGGGAGAGAAACATTGATGTGATAGAGAAACATCCTGTTGAAATCCATCCCATCTGCTAAAGCAGCGTTTCTCAAAGTGTGGTTCCAGGAATGCACCTGCATCAGAATGGACAGAAGTGTTGGTTACAATGCAGATTCCTGAGCCCTTTCCCAGGTACTGATTCAGGTGTAGAGTAGATTCAGAAATGGCCCTAGCCAGTTTGCCTCAGTGGATAGAGCGTCGGCCTGTGGACTGAAGGGTCTCAAGTTCAGTTGTGGTCAAGGGCACATGCCCAGGTTGTGGGCTCGATCCCCAGTGTGGGGCAGGCAGAAGGCAGCCTGTCAATGATTCTCTCTCATCATTGATGTTTCGATCTCTCCCTTCCTCTCTGAAATCATTGAAATATATTTAAAAACAAACAAACCACAATACCAAAAAAAAAAAAGAAAAATCTATAGCTTACCCCAGCTGTAGACTGTAGTGTCTTTATTTTTTTATTTTTTTAAAATATATTTTATTGATTTTTTACAGAGAGGAAGGGAAAGGGATAGAGAGTTAGAAACATCGATGAGAGAGAAACATCGATCAGCTGCCTCCTGCACACCCCCCACTGGGGATGTGCCCACAACCAAGGTACATGCCCTTCACTGGAATCGAACCCGGAACCCTTGAGTCCACAGGCTGACACTCTATCCACTGAGCCAAACCAGTCAGGACTGTAGTGTCTTAGTGTCTTTAAATCAAGCTGTACGCACAACAGCATGCAGGTCTGGTGAGTAGTGTGTATAGCGCTGAACAACCTGGTGGCGTGCAGTGGCCTGGGTGGGTGATTTGAGCAAAGGCACATGACTCTCAGGCTCCAGGTTCTCCAGTGGGGGTAGCCAGTCTGCCCCGCTTTCTGTGTTGGAAGCCAAGGTCATGTGCTTGTGTCCACCAGCTTCCTCTGTTACAGGGGATAGAGGTACAAAGCCAAATGCAAGGTCAAGAATATAGTCTGACTAGGCTCTTGTAGTAATCCAAGCCCTTTTTTTTCTAAATCCTCGCCTGAGGATATTTTCCCATTGATTTTTAGAGAGAGTGGAAGAGAGGGGGAGAGACAGAGAGAGAGAGAGAGAACATCAGTGTGAGAGAACACACATCGATTGGTTGCCTCCTGCACGCTCCCTGACCAGGGCCAGGGATTGAGCCTGCAACTGAGCTACATGCCCTTGACCGGGAATTGAACCCAGGATCCTTCAGTCCTCAGGTCGGCGCTCTGTCCACTGAGCCAAACCGGCTAGGCCTAATCCAAGTCTTGATCATGCTTAAATCATATGTTATTCTGTTTGTAGCTTCCACTTTCTTTCTTTCTTTTTAAAAAAAATATATTTTATTGATTTTTTACAGAGAGGAAGGAAGAGGGATAGAGAGTTAGAAACATCGATGAGAGAGAAACATCAATGAGCTGCCTCCTGCACACCCCCTACTGGGGATGTGCCCGCAACCAAGGTACATGCCCTTGACAGAATCGAACCTGGGACCTTTCAGTCTGCAGGCCGACGCTCTATCCACTGAGCCAAACCGGTTAGGGCAAGCTTCCACTTTCTTATGTAGGAAACTTAATTGCAGGTGAGAGGAAATACAGTTGAGATTTACACTGAAGTGTTTTGCTGGGTGGCATGGGGCGTTGGCATCCTTGCTCTTCATTTTTTTGTGAACTAATGATTTTTTTTTTTTGTCTTCTTCCTGCAGAAGCAACAGTGTAATCCTTGCTGATGAAATGGGCCTGGGAAAGACCATCCAGACCATATCATTCCTCTCCTACCTGTTCCACCAACACCAGCTGTATGGCCCTTTTCTTATAGTCGTCCCTTTATCCACCCTCACCTCATGGCAGAGGGAGTTTGAAATCTGGGCACCAGAGATTAACGTAGTGGTTTACATAGGTGACCTGATGAGCAGAAATACGGTGTGTAAACAAAAGAATTGGGGTAGAATCTGTATTATAAATGTATTTGGGGAATTGACCTAAAGCCATGATAGTTTTTGGTAAAGTTATGATTCTGTGCTGTGCCCCTGATATTGGGGGATATATTGTATCACAAAAATGCAAACCAGATATTCTGCAAAACACGCGTGTATTTAAGGAACGTACATGAAGGGGAATCTCTTAGTTGGATTGCAATATTAATTATATTTTTCTTCTCTCTGTGTTCTGGACTTGTACGACCACCTTATTTATGAAGGGTTAAAGGGAGTTAATACCTTGTAGAATGTCAATATTATTTTAGCTATTTGAGCAGAGAGTTCTTACTGAACATGATAGAGTTCTTAGAATGTGTTTCCCAATCTTTTAACATGGTGAGGTTGCAACTGACCTTGAAAAAAAATTAAAAATTAAAAAAAAAAGTCATTGAAAACGCATGACTTCTAAGAAAGGAATAAGGGGAAAGGACAATGGGCCAAAGTCAGCAGAAGTGAGCTTTGCCTGTTTTCAGACTTAAGCATCAGAAACTTAAATCTTTCCTTGGTGATAACTGTTTTTACAAGCACCTGGCAGGTACCAGGCCCTGTGCCGGGTGCTCTGTGTACACAGCCTGTAATCCTCATGGTAGTCTCCACAGTAGACCCTGTTCTTTCCAACCGATGAAGGTGGTGACTCAGGTGAACCCCGGGCCCCATGCCAACTAGAATCGGGGGTTGGGACAGATGTGTCTGGCCCCATACCTTTGCTCCTCCACCCCTGTATGGTAACTGTTTCTGGGGGATTGCTTCCTATAAGAGCAAGCCATCAGGAACCCACAACCCTTGGAGAGATGTTACATATTGTCATGCTAAGTCCAATTTATTTTTATCACCTATTGTCATTGTCTAACCGAAACTCTGGCAGATTGCATTGCCCTCATTCCGAGTTTCTAAAGTATACAGTAGTTTCTAGCTTTGTGAATTTATTTTATTTTTTTAAAAAAATACATATTTTATTGATCTTTTACAGAGAGGAAGGGAGAGGGATAGAGAGTTAGAAACATCGATCAGCCGCCTCCTGCACACCCCCCACTGGGGATGTGCCCGCAGCCAAGGTACATGCCCTTGACCGGAATCGAACCTGGGACCCTTGAGTCCGCAGGCCGACTCTCTTCACTGAGCCAAACCGGTTAGGGCTGAATTTATTTTTTTTAACCATCACAAAAGAAAAAACAACTTCCGGGATTATGCGAAATGGCTTTAAGCACTGCAGTCCCTAGTGAAGACGAGGAGGACTCTGAAAAATTGTGTCCCCTGGGACGTCTTCAGTTCTCCTTTAGCTTTGTTGTCTTTCTTCCCACGTGGTGGTACTCACCTGCATGTACGCCTTGCCCCGTTGTCATGACAACCAACTGCAGAAGCTTTGTCATGGGCATTGTCTGCCTGGCATCCAGTCACACCTCAGTGTGAACGTGTTAGCGTCTGTGTTCCTTCACATTGACGTTATTTTCATTTTCATTCAGGTTAAATTACATTTTCACAGTGAGCCTCCCTTTCCTTTTTCTTGGGGCCCAAATCTGTCTGCTCTGTGATTAATGAAATTTCTGACCTCATTAATGGTTGGAATTCGTTTTACTTGCTAATGAAAGTATTGCCCTGTCCAAGAAAATAATCAGATTATATTTCCTTAAGAAAATTCTCCTCTAGGGGGTTAAATTGCTGATGACATGCATTTTTTTGATCAGTTGTGTTGGGGCTGCAGGGGCAAAGGGAAATGACAATTTATTTGAATTCTGACAGTGAAGTTTTGGCTGCTCAGTGATCTTTTAATTCTAACTCTTAACTGCTTTATACGTCTATCGATTGGGTCATTTTAGAATGTATAAGGTATTTATTAAATTCTACAAGTTTTTTTTATTGGGCATGTTTCTGTTGCATCTGTCATAAGACTGGCTGGTAAAAGTAGAAATTGTTTCTGAATTACCCTTTTCTTTTATAGATACGGGAATATGAATGGATTCATTCTCAGACCAAAAGGCTCAAATTCAATGCACTTATAACAACATACGAGATCCTCTTAAAAGATAAGGTGTGTAATTGGTAACTAAAAGGCTAAATTTTGTAGTGTAACTTGTCCAGATGTTATCAGACTTCAGCATCAGGGTGTGTACTTCCCACTTGCCATGTTCTTTTTCTCTCCATTTCTTTAAAAAAGCAAACAAATGAACCAGTAAATCCACACTGAATATTAAGGTTATTAAAAAACAACAAAAACAAACAAACTGAAGGGGACCTTAGGTTGCCTAGTCCAATGGAATTAAACAGGACAAAGGGGTATTGAGGCCCGTTGCTCCCCTGTGATTCTAGGCAATTATGGGGAACTGGGCCTGGGTGTCATCCTCATGGCACAGGCATTTCTCCAGAACAGGTGATGCGGGTGGTCTCTGAGGGGGACAGCAAAAGGAAGCTCTTTAAATGACCTTCTTTCTACAGTTTAGTAGGAAATTTATGTGGCAGGTGATCCCATTGGTGACAGTGTAAATAAATACGTTCAGTTTGGTGGCTCTTGATGTTTCTATGCTTGAGGGTTGGGCTGGAGAACAGGGAGAGAAGAACCTTAATGAAAGAGAGACAGCAAAATCCCCCGTTTTGTATGTTTTTTTGCCCAGCATGCCAATTTTTGGGTTCTTGCTTCTGGGCATGCAGCAGTACCTGGCCTAAGAGATCCCCTTATGGGTTTTAGAGGGAGAATGTGATCTTTTGAATAGACATCCATCTGGCAACCAGCAGAATAAACAGAAGAGTCCTCCTATCCCTTAAGTCTGAAGAATCAATGTTTCCGTGTGTACCAGTGATGGCGAACCTTTGGAGCTCGGTGTGCCAGTATTTTGAAAAACCCTAACTTAACTCTGGTGCCGTGTCACATATAGAAGTGTTTTGATATTTGCAACCATAGTAAAACAAAGACTTATATTTTTGATATTTATTTTACATATTTAAATGCCATTTAACAAAGAAAAATCAACCAAAAAAATGAGTTCGCGTGTCACCTCTGACACGCGTGTCATAGGTTCGCCATCACTGGTGTCTACCTTCGTGACGGTATTTTGTACAGAGATCATTAACACTTGCAAGTCCTTGTGGGTTCCCTTCTGACCTGGTGGCTCGTTCTGTTTTGTTTTTGCTTTAGACTGTGCTGGGCAGTATTAACTGGGCCTTCCTGGGAGTGGATGAAGCCCATCGGTTGAAGAACGATGACTCTTTATTGTATAAAACCCTGATTGACTTCAAGTCCAACCATAGGCTCCTGATTACGGGGACCCCTCTTCAGAACTCCCTCAAAGAGCTCTGGTCCTTGCTGCACTTTATTATGCCGGAGAAGTAAGCTCCTTCCTGTGTATTTCCCAACACGCCAGGATGTCTGAAATGCCAATGCTTCTTAACTCTCTTGAGTAGACAGATCTTAGGGAACATGGATGGCATGCATGTTTTGGGGAAAGCAAAGCATTAACTGAGGCAGGAGCAGACGTATTAACATGTTCCATCATACATGAGCGAAGACACAGAAATCAGCCTGTTGAGGAGAAAGCACATGGTTTACCAAACATGTGAATCAGTTACTTGCTTTGGGGAAGTAATTAGTAGATAGGAAACATTAGAACTTCTCACTGTTGTTACCAGGTAATCAATAAGATTGAAGTGACATCTACAAGGTCCACAACCTGTCAAATATTAAAAATACCTTAAGTCCAAAGCTTTGCTAACAGGAGCATCACCTTTAAGCCTTCTTCAGGTCTTTAACTTACTAAAAAATTTGTGGGATGTCTCTTTTAAAGAAGGTTTTTATGGGAGAGATGGTGTGCGCATTTTATAAAAGTTAAATTTATCCAGAGATGTTGGTGATACTTAAAGTGAAAGCTAAACTCGGCCTGATTTGAAGGACCCTTCTCAGTACCTTGACTTTACTCTAACTCATCGCGCACCACTTTCTCCATCACTCGCTCTCCTCCAGCCATTCCAGCCATCTTTTTATTGCTTCCTCATGCCATGCCATTGTCAGTCCTTGGGTCTGGGATGTTTTTCCTCCTCCTCTTCAATACTATTCTTGCCTCGGTTTATGTGACCACTTCTTTTTAGAGGTCTTCTCAGACCACCTGACCTAGAGTAGTAGCCTGTTAGACATGCTTAGCATCCCTACCTGGTTTTGTTTTCTATACGGCACCTCTTTTTTCCCTATTTATTTGTCATTCTCTCATGTCATAAACTGATCAAGGCATTTTTGGATAGCCTAATGTCCAACATAGAAAATGGTCCCTTCCCCCATTTGTTGTTATAGCTCTGAAAACTTCTTGAGATACAATGTACATCCATAAAGTGTTCCATTGTAAATATGCGATTAATTATTTTTTAGTGAATTTGTAGAGTTGTGCAACTATCAGGATAATCTAGTTTTAGAATATTTTTTTTCATCCAGAAAAGTTTCCTCTTGCTTGTTCATACAAACTCTCTGCTTCACTAATCAGCTTTCACCTCTAGTGATTTACCTTTTCTAGAAATTCCATATGGATGGGAGCTAAATACGGCCCTTCTATTTGGGCTCCTTTCACTTAGCATAATAGTTTTGAGATTCACCTTTGTCCTAATTTATCAGGAGCTATTCTCTTTTTATGCATTGTCTTACTATGGCTTGTCTTTTCATTTTCTTAATGCTGTCTTTTGAAGAGCAAGCGTTTTTAAATTTGATGAAGTGTAATTTATCATTTTTAAATGGATTGTCATAAAATGAGACATTTGCCTAACCCACGGTTACAAAGACTTGCTTTTTTTATTTCTTCTAGAAGTTCTTACATTTAGGCCTGTTTCATTTTGAGTGACTTTTTGTTTTAAGTGTTAAGTGCGAGGGCCCAAGTTCATTTATTTTTGCAGAGCGATTTTTGGAAATTGTTCTGGTGCCATTTGCTGAAAAGATTATCCTTTCTTCATTAAATTGTCCTGGTCCCAAGTTTGGGTGACAAATTGTTTGGGTGACAAATTTGTTGCCAATTAGTTGAGGCCATAAATACATAATGGTCTGTTTCTGGATCCTCAGTTCTGTTCCATTGGTACATATTTCTGTCCTTATGCCGATACACTCTGCATTCATTACTAGCTGTATACCACTTGGTAAAATGGGGAAGATTGTAAGTTCCAACTTCTTTCTTTTCCAGAATTATTTTGGCTATTCTAGATTGTTTATACTTCTGTATATGTTGTAGGATCAGCTTATTTCTGAAAAGAAAAAGAAAAGCTGAAATATTGACAGGCATTGTGTTGAATTTATTTATCAATTTAGGGAGAATTATCATCTAAACAATATTGAGCCTCCTAAGCCATAGTCATGGCAAGTTTCTTCCATTCCTTTAGACCTGTAATTTTTCTCTGCAGTGTTTAGTAGTTTCAGTGTTATAAGTCTTTATACTTTTGCTACTTTAGTCCTCATCTTTTAATTTTGAGTGGAATTGTGTTTTTTAATCTAATTTTTTTTAAAACATTAAGCATTTTATTTTATTTTTTTAAAATATTTTATTGATTTTTTACAGAGAGGAAGGGAAAGAGATAAAGAGTTAGAAACATCGATCAGCTGCCTCCTACACACCCCCTACTGGGGATGTGCCCGCAACCAAGGTACATGCCCTTGACCGGAATCGAACCTGGGACCTTTCAGTCCGCAGGCCGACGCTCTATCCACTGAGCCAAACCGGTTTCGGCTTTTAATCTAATTTTTAAAGTGTACCAGAGAGTTGAGTTTTATAGAGCGATCTTGTATCCTGTGAACTTGTAAAGATTATTCCCACTGTTTTGTTGTTGCTGACTTCTCTGCACTCTAGGTACAAGGTCTCATCTTCTTCAAGTAAAGGTAGCTAGTTATACCTCCTTTCCTCAGTGTGCATGGCTGTCTTTTTTTTTTTTTAATATATTTTATTGATTTTTTACAGAGAGGAAGGGAGAGGGATAGAGAGTTAGAAACATTGATGAGAGAGAAACATCGACCAGCTGCCTCCTGCACATCTCCTACTGGGGATGTGCCCGCAACCCAAGTACATGCCCTTGACCGGAATCGAACCTGGGACCTTTCAGTCCGCAGGCCGACGCTCTATCCACTGAGCCAAACCGGTTAAGGCCACATGGCTGTCTTTTAATTCTTGCCTTTGTTGCACTAGCTAGAGCCTCCATGGGGAGTAGAATTGGTAGGAGTAGAAAGTGAGCTACAGAATTTTTGTAGCTCCCCTGGATCAGGCTGAGGAAGTTTTCTTCTCGTTCTAGTTTTCGGGAGTTCTTACAGTGGATGAGTGTCGGACTTTGTCACATGCTATTTTTCTGTGTATATTGAGATGATCGTGTGGTTTTTGTTCTTTATTCTGTCAGTATGTGGTATATTTTGTTAGTTACGTTTTAGATGTTAAGCCAACCTTTCATTCCTTGGGTTCATTTGTCTCGATCCAAGCAGAACAATTTTGGGTGACAAGTGCTTAAATTCCTTAATGAACTTTATGTGCCCAAGTTTCCCTAATATTAAATTTATATCATTCGGATTGTTGTCAGAGGGCTGTAGTCTTGTTTATTGTTGTTACAATCATTAACTTTTTAACGTAGGGACAGTGAAGATTATTGATGGAAATGATATAACTTTTACCCTTGAGCAGTGACAGCTCTAACACTGCCATTAATTATTATTTTACCTATGAGCTTTATTTTCCCAAGAAATTGCAGTTTATTAAAAGAATTAAGATTACGTTTTCTGCATATTTTGCACAATAACTATGTTTGTGTATGTACTAATTGCATGATACACTAAAATTTTGAGAACTCTGGAAGCCGTCTCAGAGTTGGAAACCTTTATGCAGTATAGACTGATGAAGTGATCCATTGGTTTTCCTCTCTCTTATACTCAAGAGCTAATACCAATAAAGTTTATCTGTCCTTATAGGGAAGATCCCCCCCCCCCATTTTATCTTAAAAGAAATTTTTGTTGCAAAAACGCTTTTTTCTTTGTGTGTAACCAAGTAACACTGGACTGTTTCGCCCCCAGGTTTGAGTTCTGGGAAGATTTCGAGGAGGACCACGGGAAAGGGCGGGAGAACGGCTACCAGAGCCTCCACAAGGTGCTGGAGCCGTTCCTCCTGCGGAGGGTCAAGAAGGACGTGGAGAAGTCCCTGCCCGCCAAAGTGGAGCAGATCCTCAGGGTGGAGATGTCGGCCCTTCAGAAACAGTATTACAAGTGCGTTCCCGCTGGTGGGGGGCGGCCGGAGTGGGAGTAAGACAGTGCCCTGAAGCCAGGAGACGGGCAGTAGACAAAACCACTGTGTCTCTCAGGCCCCAGCACAGATTTAAGTAGCAGTTTGTTTATGGTCAGAGGAACTTTTATTATCCTTGCTTTTTTTAAAAGGACATTTTTATTGATTTCAGAGAGGAAGGGAGAGGGACAGGTAGAAACATTAATGATGAGGATCATGGATCGGCTGCCTCCTGCACGCCCCACAATGGGGATCGAGCCCACAACCCCGGCATGTGCCCTGACCGGGAATTGAACTTCAATAGTTACCGACTCATGGCCAGTCTAGTTCAGCCAGATCTTCTTTTGTATCCCCATTCTCACCTGTGTATCATTGGAAGCATATCCCAGGTACATAACATTTGTGTTTCTATATGTCTAAAAGCAAAAATAAAACCCCAAAATAAATTTGAAAAAATCACCTCAAAGCTCATAGGTACAGAGAACACGTGTGTGGGGTGGACAAAGGGTTCAAAAGGTACAGACTTTCAGTTATAGAATAAGTAAGTCATGGGGATGTGGTATACAGCATGGTGACTATAGTTACTAAGAGAGTATTTTAAAAGGGGAAAAATGGTAACTATGTGGTGATGGATGTTAACTAGACGTATTGTGATTATTTCACAATATACACAATACTGAATCATAATGGATACACTTGAAACTAATATAATGTTATATGTCAGTTATACCTCAATTAAAAAAAGAGTTAAGCATAACATCAATACTGTTATGCCTAACAAATTAATAATTCCTTAATATTTTTATAATGTCTAATGAGTGTTTACAGTTTCTTGGTTGTAATAAAAATGTGTGTGTGCACGCGCACACACTCTCACTCTCACACTTTGCTATTTTGCATTGGGATCTAAGTAAGCTCCATACATGGTGACTGCTTGGCATGTCCCTTAAGTTTATTTTAATCCATCCCCCCCCCCCTCCGTCCTTGTAAATTCTTTGAGTGAAGAAGCTGAGTCTGTTGCATAGCTTTTCCTCACGGCCTGGATTTTTGCTGATCCCAGCTCTATGGCATCATTTAATATTTTGCTCCAGACGCTTTGTTTCCTGTGCATTCACAGACGAGTGTAGAGGGTTCATTAGATTCAATGTCAGTATTTCATCGAAGATCCCAGCTCTTTAGTTAACATCATCGTCTATAATTTGCAGGTGGATCCTGACCAGGAATTACAAGGCTCTCGCCAAAGGCACAAGGGGCAGCACGTCTGGCTTCCTGAACATTGTGATGGAACTGAAGAAATGCTGCAACCACTGCTACCTGATTAAGCCCCCCGAGGAGAACGAGAGGGAGAACGGGCAGGAGATCCTTCTGGTGCGTGCTTGCCTTGTTCGTCACGACTTTCTCAGCGACAGTTTAGTTTCTGTAGGTGCTATCGTAAGAAGCTTTAAGCCGCAGCCGGTTTGGCTCAGTGGATAGAGCGTCAGTCCGCAGACGCTCGAACCTGAAGGGTCCCAGGTTCGATTCCGGTCAAGAGCACGTACCTTGGTTGCGGGCTTCATCCCCACCCTGGTTGCGATGCTTGTGGGAAGCAATCAGTTGATGTGTCTCTCTCACAGCGATGTTTCTCTCCCTCTCCCCCTCCCTTCCACACTCTCTAAAAATCGATGGGAAAATATCCCCAGGTGAGAATTAACAACAACAACAAAAGCTAGGAAAAAATCTGCAAGTATTGTTATCGATAACAGATAAAGAGCATTTCAGGAATTGCTTGTCAGCCAGGTGGCAGAAGGCTTCAGGAAGCCGAACTGTGATTTTAAACGTTTGAACTCGTAGAGCCTGAGGGCAGATGGACGTGTCTTGAACGTTGGGATGTCTTCTCCATTTCCAGTCCCTGATCAGGAGCAGCGGGAAGCTGATCCTGTTGGATAAGCTGTTGACCAGACTGCGAGAAAGGGGGAACCGCGTCCTCATCTTCTCCCAGATGGTGCGGATGCTGGACATCCTGGCCGAGTACCTGACCATCAAGCACTACCCTTTCCAGGTGAGGGTGCTCGGTGACTGGCCTCTCTCCCTCCCCCCTCCCTTCCTCTGGCTTCTGTGCTTTGTTTGCTAAATTATCCTAAGGTTGAGGTTCCAGGGCGGCCTTAATTTTTACTTCCATGCCTTCAGGCTAACCCTCTAATGAAGATGGTCAAGGTGGGGTCATTCTTTTCCAGGGACCAAGGGGTAGGGATTAGAGAAAGGAAAACTGGGCAAGAGAAAAGTCTCTTGTTTATCTCAAGTGGTGATTGTGAGGGAAGAAATACGAAAAACAATTTAAAGGAGTGAGAAGTGCTTTAGTTAGCAGGTAATTAGCCTTCGCTTTTAATTTCACATATATGGCTTCTCTGTGGTGACATTTTTTGATGTAGAGCTGACATACACGCTAACAAAAGCATTGGCTGTTTTAGTAAAGGCTTGAAGACCCAATGTGGCTGCTTGAACTTGGCTCTGAGTGTAGAGTGCAATTTTTGGAAAAGCTGGGATATATGATCAGCTTCATTTTTAACATTATTGATGTTACGGCAGAACGTTTTCCAAACAAAATGATGAAAATCATTTTGTGGCTTGTGTAGCACTTAATGACTGGGCAATTTGCCCTGGCCAGTTTTGCTCAGTGGTTGGAGCATTGGCCCGAGGACTGAAGGGCCCCAGGTTCAATTCTGGTCAAGGACGCATACCTCAGTTGCAGGCTCAATTCCGGCCCTGGTTGGGTCGCGTGCGGGAGGCAGCCATTCAATGTGCCTCTCTCACATTGATGTTTCTCTCTCTGTCTCTCCCTCTCCCTTCCACTCTCTCTAAGAAATCAATCTAAAAAAAAAAAAAAAATCCTCAGATGAGGATTAACCAAAAAAGAAAGGAAGGAAAATAACTGGGCAACTTTATTTATATTAGTCAAGAAGCATCATTTTCCGGCAGGAGCTGATTATTAGGTGTGACCAGGGGTAGTATTTCCCTGTCTCCTCAGTACCCAGATGTGGAAGCAGACAAAGCCTCGAAGCCCAGCGTGGCTTGCCTTTTCCTTGTAGGTCCTGGCAGCCATGCTGATCCTGGGATAAACCCAGATAGCCCTTTGATTCAGAACCTTCTGACCTTGAGTTTGTAACCAGAGAGCTTGGGGCCAGTGGAGTGTGCCGCTTAGGGCAGCCCCGCCAGCACATCGCCCGTGCATTCCAGCTATTTTTACCCGGCGGGTGTCGCGCCCATAAAGGCTTCGAGTCTGGTGTCTGTTCCCATTGCAGCTGATCTTCCTGCCTTATGACTTCCTTGTGGCTTGTCTTTACAGCGTCTGGATGGTTCCATCAAGGGAGAGATCCGGAAGCAGGCGCTGGACCACTTCAACGCCGATGGTTCTGAGGTACACGGGGCACGGCTTTGTGATCGGGGCAGCTTGGGCTGGGGATCCAGGGCAGAGCCTTTCTGGGTGAACATGTTCTGTTTCAGGAACAGTTCCCGGTGCCGCCCTTCTGGGAGGGCAGTGAGAAGTCACTTAAGTGAAAGGTGTCTTTGCGTCTCATGATCAGTCCGGGAGACCTTTTGCATGCTCTCTATCCCCCCTGGTGTGGACTAATGACAGGCGTCCTGACGTCACCGGAGTTTTCTCTAGTGACTTGCAGATACCAAGTTTCTGGGCCTAGGAGAGCAGCCCGGCAAAGTGGGCAGGGCTGGCCAGTAGGGTCATATTGGGATACTAGGGCCCGATGCACAAAATTCATGCAAGAGCAGGCCTGCCTTCCCCCGGCTGCCGGCACCCGCTTCCCTCTGGCACCCGGGACCTGGGCTTCCCTGCGGCCACTGGCAGGCACCTGGGACCTGGGATCCGGGTTTCCCTTGCAGCCCCTACTTCGTCCGGAAGGACGTCCGGTCTAATTAGCATATTACACTTTCTTATTGGGATATATGTTAATATCATAAGGTTCTGATCTGCACTTTCTTGGTAACTTCCAGTCTTAAAAAGTACACTTGCCGTGTCTCAAATTAGTTGGACCCTGCTGCAGTGTGGCTTACTGTTTTTTGTTTTTTTAAATATATTTTTATTGATTTCAGAGAGGAAGGGAGAGGGAGAGACAGAAACATCAATGATGAGAGAGAATCATTGATGGGCTGCCTCCTGCATGCCCCACACTGGGGATTGAGCCCGCAACCCACACAGGTGCCCTTGATCGGAATCAAACCCGGAACCCTTCAGTCCACAGGCCGGCGCTCTATCCACTGAGCCAAACCGGCTAGGGCTGAATTACTGTTTTTACTTTGGCTGACAGCAGCGTTTAGTTAAGTGTCCAGCTAGAAGGTGGCATTATAGAGTTTCCCTTTTCACACGTGCAGAAGAGCCACCTAAGACAGTTCATATTATCTTTGGTAAAGCCTGATGTGGAAAATGGCTTAATGATCAATCAGACCCCAGACTTTACATTGCAGGTTTCTCCTCCTAAAGTGTCCTGTCTACCTAGAGCAGTGGTTCTCAACCTGTGGGTCTCGACCCCTTTGGCGGTCGAACGACCCTTTCACAGGGGTCGCCTAAGACCATCCTGCATATCAGATATTTACATGACGATTCATCACAGTAGCAACATTACAGTTAGGAAGTAGCCACGAAAATAATTTTATGGTTGGGTCACAACATGAGGAATTGTATTTAAAGGGCCAGAAGGTTGAGAACCACTGCCCTCCTGCCTGTGCTTTTCTGAGCCCTGGGACGCAGGCAGGTGTCTCGGGTGTCAGTGCTGTGGAAGCTCGAGGGTCAGGGCCGGGGTCTTCCCCACACACGCCCTCCAGCCACACCTGCTCTGCTTTTCTCGTGGAGGTCAAGGCTGCTGTGCCTCTCCAGGGCTCTGCGTGAGAGTGTATTTTCCTCACCCGCCTAACAACTGGAGGGGCACATGCAGAACACAGTTTCCTTGTTTGTCCTGGCTCCCTTACATGCATCATCCGCCTTTTTCGGAAAACCAGTAGCTGGGCCACTTGCTGGAATGGTCCCCTTGATAATGAAGCATGCGTGGGTTTCGCTATTGCTTGTCTGCGAGGCTCAGCCAGGTGGGAGCACGAACTCTCTTGCTGCTGTTGCTCCTTAGTTCATTGCCCCGACTCCTCCCTCGTGAGCGAATGAAAATCCAGTCTTCCACCAAGCCCCTGACATTCGTTAGCCTCCATGAAGTTCGTCCGTCGTGTCTCACTTTCCTTGGCACCTGCAGGGGTGTCGGGGTGTCGGGGTGTCGGGCTTGTTGGACGGGAAACGGTTTGAGAAGGCCCCTGCCTAAAGGCGTGTGTTGCGTTGTGTGCAGGACTTCTGTTTCCTGCTCTCCACAAGGGCTGGTGGCCTGGGAATCAACTTGGCTTCCGCGGACACAGTGGTCATCTTCGACTCCGACTGGAACCCCCAGAACGACTTGCAGGCACAGGCCCGAGCCCATAGGATTGGGCAGAAGAAGCAGGTCAGTGGGGGGGGCTTCTGGGTGTGGCGTGGGGGAGCCAGGGAGGGGTTTGCGGGCCTTCCGGGATGTTTTGTGAAAGGCTTTTTCCTCTTTAGCTTCATTTCTCAAGGGGAGGTGTCTGTCTGTTAATTAGTGCAGAGAAGCCGTCTTTGGGGCTGAGATGAGCCTATAATGGAGCTGCTCTCTTTCTCTGCTTAAAAAGTGCATCACCAGCGACTTTCTAGTTTATCCTAAAAAAGATATATGACACAAAGACCTAGAACGAAACATTTTCTCCTATGTTACTATGGGAAAGTTGGTGGTAAATATTCTAACATTGTTCAAGATGGTTTATTTTAACACCTTGCGGACCAGTAGTTTCATTGCTTTACCCAGTGGCCAGATAAGTTTCTATTGAACGAGTACAAAAAACGTTTTACATAAATATTTAAGGCACGCTTTAACATTAAATACCCATTGCATTTTGAAGTTATTTATTACATGTTCTTACAAGCTAATTTCTTTTCTTTTTTTAAAAAAATATATTTTATTGATTTTTTACAGAGAGGAAGGGAGAGGGATAGAGAGTTTTAGAAACATCAATGAGAGAGAAACATTGATCAGCTGCCTCCTGCACACTCCCCACTGGGGATGTGCCCGCAACCAAGATACATGCCCTTGACCAGAATCGAACCTGGGACCCTTCAGTTCGTGGGCCGACACTCTATCCACTGAGCCAAACCGGTTAGGGCACTAATATCTTTTTAAAGTATGATACTTTGTAAAACACGGTGGAATATGAAGCGAGAATTCTCCTGATCCGTCCATAATGTGTTAATTACACATGACCAATCTTCCCTTTCTTGGGGGGGAAATACACACTTATTTCCTTCGTATGGGAATCTCAGAGTCAGTTCTAATAGAGGGTAACTCATAAGTTTCATACTCAGCCAAAGACCCAGTTTTGCTGAAATGGACTATTCTTTAGTAAGATTTTTATTTTTAGAACAAGGCCGTGTACAAAGTCCTTAACGGCAGTTACATTTAAGAATGCAACCTGCTGCAGGTGGTAAAAACACAGCATCTGCTTAGGTCTGTGTGGATGGAGGGCTTATAGCTTATGGTCCTCTATGGTGCTAGAGGCCAGGTATTTTCATTTCCCCTCCTGGTTTTAGACGGAGGTGACCTTTTGTGTGTGTGTGATCGGGCGTAAGCACAAGGTTTCCTTTTCCCACAGGTAAATATTTACCGCTTGGTGACAAAGGGGACCGTGGAGGAGGAGATCATAGAACGGGCCAAAAAGAAGATGGTATTGGACCACCTGGTGATCCAGCGCATGGACACCACTGGCCGGACGGTCCTGGAAAACAACTCGGGGCGGTCCAAGTGAGTGCCCGGGCTGGGAGAGGCCAACTGGCCCAATCCACACTCGGTGGGATCCACTCTTCCGGGGGGATTTTGTACAACAGACATCAGGCCTTTTATTGCTGGGAAACAGGCCTCGCTAAGGCTGCAAGAAGATAGCGTTTCCTTTTCTTTATTTTTTTTCCTATTTTTTCTTTTGCTTTACTTATTAGCCCTCTGCTCATGAGCACGTTCTCTTCCCCTCCCCATTCTCTCTCTCTCTCTCTCTCTCTCTCTCTATCTCTATCTCTCTATCTCTATCTCTATCTCTATCTCTATCTCTATCTCTATCTCTATCTCCTGTCCCTCCTTTTCTTTCGTTTAAAAAATGTTCATTGTTGAGAGTATTGCAGGCGTGTCCCCTTTTATCCCGTTGTCCTGCCCCTCCCTTGCCTGTGGGTTTGGCTCTCCGTGCGACATATGACACTTAGGCGTCCGCCCTGACACATTGTTGCCTTGAACTCTTCCCAATGAGAATCCACCCGATCGAATGGGCTGCTCTTCTCTTACTGTTGGTAGAAATGTTTGTGTGGGGATTTTCGACTTTTCCTGTTGAAACAGAGGAAGGCAGTTACGTTTTGATGGGATTGATTGGGAAGCACAACTATTTCTCTGAAAGAATGTACATTTTGACCAAATCGTCTAGTGTGTTCTGTGGCGGTCTTGTAGCTTTGTGACAGGTGGGATCAGCCGAGCCCTTCCCAAATAGGGTGTTCTCAGATAATTTTCCGTTAGAGAGCAACCTGGGTAGAAGCAGCGTGGTTCTTTCATATTGGACCACAGGCGAATGGTAACTTTCTGAGTCAAAGGACAGAGAGAGAACTGTCTTCTTTCATGTTGCTAATTACCCGTCTCGCCCAACCACGTGGTAGATGAGCCAACAGGAAGAGGATTGATGTCCTAGTCTTCTGCTGGCTTAGGTTTGCCACCGCGGTCCCATCCTGTGGATAAAAACATGAAATGTTTGAGAGATCATTTTTCTTGGGGCAGAATTTACATTTTCACCGGTAATTGGGCCCCTGAATGAAGGGTAGATCTGTAACAGAGCTTACTTGACATTCCTGAGAGATTACAACCGCATTTTACTTTTACAGCTCAAATCCTTTTAATAAAGAAGAGCTGACAGCTATTTTGAAATTCGGAGCAGAGGATCTTTTCAAAGAACTTGAAGGCGAGGAGTCAGAGCCCCAGGTAATTAACAAGGAGGGAAGGCGTTTCTGACAAGTGTCATTTGTGAGACACATTGTTTGGGAAGCAGATTCTGAGCCTGTTACAGGCTTCTATTAAGCAGCAGTAATTACTTAAAGGACGTAGGTTTGTTTTTTTTTTTAATATATTTTATTGATTTTTTTATAGAGAGGAAGGGAGAGGGATAGAGAGTTAGAAACATCAATGAGAGAGAAACATCAACCAGCTGCCTCCTGCACACCTCCTACTGGGGATGTGCCCACAACCAAGGTACATGCCCTTGACCGGAATCGAACCCGGGACCCTTGAGTCTGCAGGACGTAGGGTTTTTTTGTCTTTGTTTTTTCTAATAAAGTTCAAAGCTCTTAATAGGAAAGAATGAGAAAAAAAGCATTTGAGGATTCTGTCTTTTGTCTTTCTTATTCCTATTTCATTTTTTGTAATTTCTGAAGTTTCACCTTCTTTGTATAAGTAATAGTTTGAATCGTTAAATGTAAACCATGTGAAGTTGAGACTACAAAAGAAAATTAAAAATGGGATACCAGAAAAGAGAGCTGGTTTATTGGCACCAGACATTGTCAGCGCGTGCAGACCTTGCTGTTGCCTTCTTACCATACTTGTGTTGCTGTTCTTCTCCTAGGAAATGGATATTGATGAAATTCTGCGCTTGGCTGAAACCAGAGAGAACGAAGTGTCAACAAGTGCGACCGATGAGCTCCTGTCACAATTTAAGGTATAAACATCCTCGAGGGAGAAAGCCCTTAGCGTTGATTCACGATCCGGTAATAACTAATGCCTGATAGCGCTTTCTGGGTACCAGGCACTCTGCTTAGCTCTCTGAGTAAGTTGATTCATGGCTTCATTGTCATTCTCTAGAGTTTTCCAAGGATGTTCTGAGTGCAGAATCTATAGATCGTCCTCCCACGGACTATAGGTAACCACGGACATGGTGCATCCTGCCCTGAGTCAGTGGGTGGAGGAAGGAAGTCTGCGAAGAGGACTGAGGATATGATGTCAGCGGGATAGGTGGTGACCCAGTTGGCTCTGGGGGGTGTTGGAGGGCTTGTGGGAGAGACGTTAACATAATAGAATCAGATGACAAAGCGGTCGAAGGTGTAAAAACAGAAGGTGACAGGAAGCTCTTGATGACTTAGTGGGATTTTTTTTTTAAGGGTGATTACAGGGTGGTCAGTGGTATCCGATACAATACAAAATTAAATGAGAGCAGGACTAAATGCAGGAGCTGGGCACCAGCATTGAGTTACTAAATAGCTAGTGAATTATAGAGAGAAGGTACCCAGCCAGCATGGCTCAGTGGTTGAGTGTCGACTTATGAACCAGGAGGTCACGGTTCGATTCCCAGTCAGGGCACATGCCCGGGTTACAGGCTCAACCCCCAGTAGGGGGCGTGCAGGAGGCAGCCGATCCATGATTCTCTCTCATCATTGATGTTTCTGTTTCTCTTTCCCTCTCCCTTCCTCTCTGAAATCGGTAAAAATATATTTTTTAAAAAGAGTAGAGAGAAGGTAATTTATGTGACAAAAGGGTCTAGCAAGGCCACGTTTTTTATTTGTTTTGTTTTTTAAGATGTTACCATGTTCTGGGTTTCAGAAGGTATTTGAGAATAGGGAGCTATTGCAGGTGCAGAGGAGTGAAGGAACGTTTGAGGGCCCATCCGTTGCCTCAGGGGAGACTGGAAGGGACATCACCAGAAGCACAGCTGGAGGAGCTGACTTTGAAGGAGAAGGGAAAGCACACTTTAGGGAAAGATGTGGAGTTCCAACTGGTGACCTTAATGACCAGTGAAATAAATGAGGTGTTTGCTGAGAAATGGAAAAGACTCGCTGCAGCCCTGGGTGGGGCCGGGGCTTGCCGGGAGGAACTTGATAGGGAGTAGAGCTTAATTTAGAAAATACGGCTTCGGCTTTGCTTTGGAGCCAGTCAGCAGGGTCATATGAGACTCTCCTGCACTCCGTGAGGTCAGAGAAACGGGATCAGCTGGTAATCCCAAGGTGAGACTGGCTCACGACGCGTGGGAGGGTCAGAGAGGCAAAGGCTTCCCAGTTGCAAATGAGGCCCGGCCGGTGTGGCTCAGTGGTGGAGCATAGACCTATGAACCAGGAGGTCAGGGTTTGGTTCCCAGGCAGGGCACATGCCCGGGTTGTGGGCTCGATCCCCAATGGGGGCGTGCAGAAGGCAGCCGATCAGTGATTCTCTCTCATCCTTGATGTTTCTATCTCTCTCTCTCTCTTCCTCTCTGAAAATCAATTACAAAAAAAAAGAGAGAGGGCCTGGTTGAAAGGATTGATCATGGGTTGGTTTGATGCAGGTTAGAGAAGCAGGTTACAGTGGTGGTTAAGTGTGGTAGAGTCTACCGTTAGGGTAGAGGGAGAATTGGGTGAAGCGTTTGGAAGGAAGCAGGATGGAATGAGGTCAAGGTTGGCCACAGGTAGAGCTGTCTCGGTGGGAGAGCAGGGAAGGAGCTGAGGGTGGGTCAGAGAGCTCTCCTGTCAGGTGTCATGTGTCTGAGGTTGGAGGGGAGTTATTAGTGTGTCCCCCGGATCCCACCTCTGCGACTGCTGCTCCGTTCTTAAGCAGAAGTCATCTTCATGACTGTCCTGGTCAGAATATTATGAGCATTAAGTCACATTACTGGTGACTCTGGCCTTTCTAAGGCCCTTTTTAAAAAAATTGAATTTATTGGGGTGACGACATTGGTTAATAAAGTTATATAAGTTCCAGGTCTATAGTTCTATAATATATCTCATATATATATTAACACATTGTGGATGGATCACGAGAATTCTCGTTTCATATTACACAGTGTTTTACAAACTATCATACTTTAAAAAGATATTAGCTTGTAAGAACATGCAATAAATAACTTCAAAATGCAATGGGTATTTAATGTTAAAGCGTGCCTTTAACATTTATGTAAAACGTTTTTTTGTACTCGTTCAGTAGAAACTTATCTGGCCACTGGGTAAAGCTAGCAATAAAACTACTGGTCGGCAATGTGTCAACATATATTTCAGTTAAACTTATAAGACACTTTATATCTTTATATCTGCTTCCCTCCTTTTCAGTAAAATTTCTGATGAACTTGAGGATGTGGCAAATTGATTTCCGGGGGGGAAGGGAGAGATAAGAGAAAATCGATTCTTTGATTATATAATATCACAGGACTCCCTTATTAGTCATAGCATCGTACTTAGATTAAAAACACTGTGAGTTGAGGTTTTAGTGGATGTTCTTTGGGAAATAGAGGAATTTCAGTGGTCCGTCTGTTGACATTTCAGGTTGCCAATTTCGCCACCATGGAAGACGAGGAAGAGCTGGAAGAGCGGCCCCACAGGGACTGGGACGAGATCATTCCCGAGGATCAAAGGAAGCGCGTGGAGGAGGAGGAGCGGCAGAAGGAGCTGGAAGAAATCTACATGCTGCCTCGAATTCGGAGTTCCACGAAAAAGGTAACCAAGGGAGACGGAAGAGAGGAACCTCCTTCTCGGGCTCTGACGCTGCAGGAGTGCCTAGTGTTCAAGGAAGGGGCCTTGCATTGCTGCCCGACCTGCGGGCTCCAGGGCAGAGTCTCGGGAAACCCAGCAGAGGAACAGGGAAGTGCCTGGGGCTCCTGGCTCACCTGGGAGGCACTTGGCCTCTGCTCACGGGCTGTGTGAGATGGCTGAGCAGGAGACTATAGAACCGTTCTTCGCCACAGGCACTATCACATTTGACTTTTGCAAAACATTACCACCCAGTTTGTTGGAGATAATAGACTGGAGTTTGTCCAAGATCTTAGTAAATCATAAATCAGTAGCAGCTAATGGTAGCTACTATTTGCTGAGGACTCACAGGCATCGGCTAGTGCATTTAAACTTATTGACTCATTGAATCCTTTGAGACCCCTGATTAAAGGAGCTGATATCCCCATTTTACAAATAGCACAAGAAGTCCAAGGAAGTGAACACAAACTTACCATTCCAACACTTGCATTGCATTTTTCTTCTTAGAACCCACACTTCTCTGGAGGTGTGACTATCCCTGTCGGGTCTCCCTTCGTTACCTGACACCTGCCTCCTTATTTCCCAAAGAAAAACAGACTTGTCTGATGGGACGGCCAGTTCCGAGTCCCACAGAACGGGGCCGGGCTGGCCTTGGTCCTTGGGCCTCTGGCACCTGGCCCTGGTCACAGTGGGCCTTTGCCGTTTCAGGCGCAGACCAATGACAGCGACTCCGACACCGAGTCCAAGAGGCAGGCCCAGAGGTCCTCTGCCTCGGAGAGCGAGACCGATGACTCCGACGACGACAAGAAGCCGAAGCGCCGAGGGCGCCCCCGGAGCGTGCGCAAGGACCTCGTGGAGGGGTTCACGGACGCGGAGATCCGCAGGTGGGTGGGGCCCTGCTCCCTGGGCCTTGTGGGGAAGGGATACCGTCAGTTCCGGCAGGGAGTGCGAGGGAGACCGAGTCGTACACCCGTCGGAAATGCTCCTCCATCCCGATGTTGTTACTTTTTTATATGGAGAGTTTTTGTGCCTTTTAAAAATAGATTTTTTTGCCCTGACCTGTTTGGCTCAGTGGATAGAGCGACGGCCTGCAGACTGAAGGGTCCCGGGTTCGATTCCGGTCAAGGGCATGTACCTTGGTTGCGGGCACATCCCCCAGTGGGGGGTGTGCAGGAGGCAGCTGGTCGATGTTTCTCTCTCATCGATGTTTCTAACTCTCTATCCTTCTCACTTCCTCTCTAAAAAATCAATAAAAAATAAAAAAAAGTAAAAATATATTTTTATTGATTTCAGAGAGGAAGGGAGATAGGGGAGAGAGATGGAAGCATCAATGATGAGAGAGAATCATTGGTCAGCTGCCTCCTGCACGCCCCACACTGGGGATCGAGCCCACAACCCAGGCATGTGCCCTTGACCGGAATCGAACCCGGGACCCTGCAGTCTGCAGGCTGACACTCTATCCACTGAGCCTCACCAGCTAGGGCGTCCGGATATTATTTTGAAGTAAAACCCTAGTGTCTTACTATTTCAGGTGTGAAATGTCTCCGTGTATATCATGGAGCCATGGAGAGCTGAGGAAGAATCCCAGGTTCACGTTCACATGTAGCACTCCCCTACCCTTGTATCCAGGCTGTTCCTTCCCTAGAGTTTCTCAGCTGTTGTCACGTTCATTCCCGTTCTCTTCAGTCACCATGCCCTCCGCCCAGTTTTTTCTCCCATAGAATCTCTCCCAGCCGTTCTCAACCTTCCTAATGCCGCGACCCTTTAATACAGTTCCTCATGTTGTGGTAACCCCCAACCATACAATTATTTTCGTGGCTACTTCATAACTGTCATTTTGCTACTGTTGTGAATTGTCATGTAAATATCTGATATGCAGGATGTATTTTCAGGGGTCGCGGCCCACTGGTTGAGAACCGCTGCCTTAGACTCTTACCTAAGCAGGTTATTTTAGTGACTGGCATGTCCCAGTGAGGCCCTGGGTTTGTTGTGACGTCTTGCTTTCCATGGGCAGTGCTAGTGGTTGGCGCAGGGACGGGGAGCAGGTGACTCACGGATTGGCGGGCAGCGTGGTTTAGGGTGGAGACTGGTGGAAGGTTAGGTTGGATTTTTGGTTGGAGATAAGGTTGGGCGGGAGTCAACACACTTTCCAAAATGGTTTTGCCCAAGAAGCTTGAAATCATAGGTTTATTTTGCTTTGTCGCATTCCCCAAAAATACTCGATGCAGTCTCAGAAATCGTATAGTTGTACGCCAGAAAATGAGGGAAAATCTGGAATTGAAGGTAACAGTAGTAGACTGAACAGACCAGCAAACTGTTTTTTTTAAAAAAAATATATATATATTTTATTGATTTCAGAGAGGAAGGAAGAGGGAGAGACAGATAGAAACATCAATGATGAGAGAGAATCATTAATTGGCTGCCTCCTGCACGCCCCCTCCTGGGGATCAAGCCCACAACCCAGGCATGTGCCCTTGGCTGGCATCAAACCTGGGACCCTTCAGTCATCAGGCCGATGCTCTATCCATTGAGCCAAACCAGCTAGGGCTGTTTGGGGGGTTTTTATGTCCAGAGTTATTGTGGTGATGGGATCACACGTTACACAGACTTGCACATTTAAAAACGGATAACATCGGAGTTACATCGCTGTTCTCCGTTAGGTCCCTAAGCAGCTTCCTGAGAATAAAGTTGGTCTTTTCGTTGGAATAGATTTCCAGCACTCAGTTGGAAGTGGGCCGTTGGCATTCAGCATGCAAAGACCTGTTACAAGGATCGGGTCCCGTCTATTTTTGACATTTTTTACGCGGCTCATATTTAACACAGATACGTGTTTGCATTAACAGAGCTGAAGTCTCTGTTCTTTTAACGTGTGCTCTTGCTCATCTCCGTAGGTTCATCAAGGCATATAAGAAGTTTGGTCTCCCTCTTGAACGGTAAGCTTAGCAAAAGTTCCTAAGTTGCCCCTTTTATTACGTGGCAGTTTCTTTTTTTGCTACTCTTTCCATGGAAGGTCTGGCACCTTTTGACAGCCTGACTTGTAGACATTAATGTATTCACATGCTCCGTGTGACTTAGAGTCAACAGAACATATTGTAGAATAACTGTGCTTTGCTGCGGGGAGCATCGTGATGAGGGAAAGTAGCTGGAGAAAGGAGAGTGGACACTAAAGAAGCAGACGAGGGCCGTATTTTTTTTTTAAAGAAGTTTTTAAAAATATATATATTTTATTGATTTTTACAGAGAGGAAGGGAGAGGGATAGAGAGTTAGAAACATCGATGAGAGAGAAACATCGATCAGCTGCCTCCTGCACACCCCCTACTGGGGATATGCCTGCAACCAAGGTACATGCCATTGACCGGAATCGAACCTGGGACCCTTCAGTCCGCAGGCCGACACCCTATCCACTGAGCCAAACCAGTTAGGGCTGGGCCGTATTTTTTTAAATATATTTTTATTGATGTCAGAGAGGAGAGAGAAACATCAATGATGAGAGAGAATCACTGATCGGCTGCCTCCTGCACGCCCCACACTGAGGATCGAGCCCACAACCCGGGCATGTGCCCTGACCTTGATCTTCTGGGCTTAGTTTGATGCTCAACCAGCCACAGAGCCACACCGGCTGGGCCACCCTTGTCTTTGAAATCACTTTATGGGCTATGCCAAGGCACAGTTCTTTTTGATGGGAAACGAGGAACTTGGCCCTCAGTCAGCGTGGCAGGGTTCTTGTCGCTGAAGGAATGTAGGGAAAAGTGTCCTTGCAGGGGCAGGCCTCTCCGAGACCAGTGGTGTCTCATGTGACGGTAGGAAGGTGGGCGCAGGGCCCTGAAGTGTCCCGCGCTGGTCTGTCCCCAGGCTGGAGTGCATAGCGCGCGACGCGGAGCTGGTGGATAAGTCGGTGGCGGACCTGAAGCGCCTGGGCGAGCTGATTCACAACAGCTGTGTGTCAGCCATGCAGGAGTATGAGGAGCAGCTCAAGGAAAACGCCAGCGAGGGTAAGTCCCCAGGCGGCCCCGGTGGTCCTCCCAGGCCGGGCGCCTGCATCGGGGTTCCTGCTGCTCCAGGGCTTGGCTTAGAAGAGGACTCAGGGTCGGATGATGACTCGAGTCATTCCGCACACGTGAAGCGCTTAGCTGTGTGTCTGGCCTGCAATGTTCGCTACTATCGTTAATAAAGAAGTATTTGTGCTCTGGGATTTCCTTTTCAAGGATATTACTAAAGAAATAAAATTTTAAAAATATCTTAAATAGAGTTAAGTGTTTTCGGATGTGATTTCTTGTGTGTGTGTGTGTGTGTGTGTGTGTGTGTGTGTGTGTGTGTAACTTCAGTACCTTGAGTGATTTGGACAGTGATCCAAATGTGTGCTGCCATAGCACCCAGAATACATCTCGAAGTAAACCTTAAACCCAGTGTTTCTCTTTACGCCCAGAAGATAAAGGCCCCCCCCTTGTACCTATGTGCTTTCATAGGTATTTTATATTTGTGATACAGTTGGAGGGTTTTTTTTTTTAATATTTCTGATACACGTGGAGTTTTTCCTAGTCTACCCAGGTTTATTTTTCCTGTGTGGCTACTTTATGTCTCAGCACCATTCATTAAAATGGTTCGTCTTTTCTCCACTGCCTGATTTTCTTTTTTTTTTAAGAACTTCATAATGTGATGGATATAGTAGTATTAGTGTCCTGAAAGTGGACATTCGCTTTCCAGTCTGTTGCTCTACAGCGTTGTGGTAAATGATCCTGTGTATGTACCCCAGGGGTCCTCAAACTACGGCCCGCGGGCCACATGTGGCCTGCCAAAAACATTTGTTTTTTTACTTCAAAATAAGATATGTGCAGTGTGCATAGGAATTTGTTCATAGTTTTTTTTTAAACTATAGTCTGGCCCTCCAACGGTCTGAGGGACAGTGAACTGGCCCCCTGTTTAAAAAATTTGAGGACCCCTGATGTACCCCATTTCGCACCATCCCGTCCAACCAGTATTGAAGGACCACCTCTGTTTTCTCTGAGTCTCATCAACATAATATTTTCAATTTTTTCTTTTTCCCCGACCTGATAGGGTAAAAGTGGCATGTGTACATGTGTTTAATTTGCATTTCTATTATCACGAGTGAGGTTGAGTATTTTACGTATGTTTAGGAGCCTCTTGAATTTCCTTGTTTGCAAATTGCCTTGATCCAGAAAGGTTATTAGCTAAAAGCGAGAAGGGAGAAGACGTAGTTGGTGCAGGTTTCTGGTGTTCAGAGCAGGGCCTTTCCATTGACCACCTCTGTTCCAACTCCCATCAGTATTGTCCGGAAGAGCATTTGCAAATGAAATTCTAGTGGATTCCAAAAGAATCCCCATGCAATCGTCTGTAATCGTAGTGCCATTTCATCGACTTACACGTCTAGAAAAGTGAGATCTTTCCTAACACTCTGAGCCATCTTTTCTCCGACAAACCAGTGTCGTTCTCATGGGTTTATTTTAGCTTTGGTTAGAGTTGGCTGGATTTTATTCTTCCAGGATTGCTTTAATTTGAAACGAGGGATAGGGCAGCCTTTTCATGACATCTTTTATTCGTTTGAAATGTGTTAGGTATAAACTTGATCTCATATTTTTTTATAGAGACTATCTTTAAAGCACTTAAATAACTTAGTTAATGGAATAGTTAAAAAAAAAAGAAAGAAAATTCTTTAGTGCTAATTCCTTCAGAATCTCCTTTTGTTAATATTACTAATTTTGGAACCAAAGCATAAAACAAATAGGAAGATTAAAATACAGTTGTATACACTATTGTAATTGAGACAGTCTTTTTGCCTTATAGGTTGTATCTTCGATTAACAATAAGACAGAGAGAGATTGAGGGAGTCGGCGTTCAGGGATGGACTCATGTCTCCTGTGGAACTTGAGCAAATTCTCATTTAACTTTCCCTTTAGGGAAAGGACCAGGAAAAAAGAGAGGCCCAACAATCAAGATCTCTGGGGTGCAGGTGAACGTGAAATCCATTATCCAACATGAAGAGGAGTTTGAGATGCTGCATAAATCCATCCCGGTGGACCCTGAAGAAAAAAAAAAGTGAGTGTGTTATGTGCGCATGCTCGAGTGGTCGTGCTATAGGACGGTAGACTGGAAGTTAGTTATGTGTAGTTATGTAGTGTTTTCGTTGTCTTCTCTTTATTTTTTTATTTTTTACTAGAGGCCCAGTGCATGAAAATTCATGCACTTGGGGGGGTCCCTCAGCCCAGCCTGCACCCTCTCACAGTCCGGGACCCCTTGGGGGATGTACACCTGCCGGCTTAGGCTCACAGCTGTCAGCCTGGCTTGTAACTGAGTGGAACTCCCCCTGTGGGAGCTCACTGACCACCAGGAGGCAGCTCCTGCGTTGAGCGTCTGCCCAATAGTGGTCAGTGCACGTCATAGTAACCAGTCATTCCTGGTTGTTCCACCGTTAGGGTCAATTTGCATATTGCCCTTTTATTATATAGGATTTTATTTATTTTTTATATTTTACTGATTTTTTACAGAGAGGAAGGGAGAGGGAGAGAGAGAAACATCGATGAGAGAGAAACACCGATCAGCTGCCTCCTGCAAACCTCCTACTGGGGATGTGCCCGCAACCAAGATACATGCCCTTGACTGGAATCGAACCTGGGACCTTTCAGTCTGCAGGCCGACGCTCTATCCACTGAGCCAAACCTGTTAGGTTATTTTTTATTTTTATTGAGTTCAGAGAGGAAGGAAGAAGGGAGAGAGAGAGAAACATTAGTGATGAGAGAGAATCACTGATGGGCTGCCTCCTGCACGCCCCCTACTGGGGATGGAGCCTGCAACCTGGGTATGTGCCCTGAATCGAACCTTGACCTCCTGGTTCGTAGGTCAATGCCCAACCACTGAGCCACACCGGCCGGGCTCGTTGTTTCTTTATCGCAGCAGAATACTTTGTGTTCATTTCCAAATCAGAGAGGCCTCGCCTCTGACGCCCTCTTTTTGAAACCCCTGTAGGTACTGCTTAACCTGCCGTGTCAAAGCTGCGCATTTCGATGTGGAGTGGGGAGTGGAGGATGACTCGCGCCTCCTGCTGGGCATCTACGAGCACGGCTATGGGAACTGGGAGCTAATTAAAACGGACCCGGAGCTGAAGCTAACGGACAAAGTAAGTAACTCTGCGACGCCGGAAATTTCTAGAAGATTTCTGGCGTAATACTTCTATATTCATTACTTATTTTTAACTATTTTCCGGAGGGGTGGGGCGGGGATCAACTGGGAAATTAGCACAACAGCAGATTCCTGGGATTTCTTTATCCTTGGACACGGTACCATCTTTAGTGGACTGTGACACTGTGTCATGGACGAAGGTGATAGCCAGGTAAAAATTTTGGGGGAACTATAAGAGAAATCTTAAAGTTCTGATTTTTATTGTAGGTCAGTCTCATTGCAACAAAATACCAGGGTAAGGTTCTTAATGATAAAAGCATCACTCCGCCTTAGTTGCTGGCCCTTTGTTTGCCGTTGTATTGGAAACAACCGTATTTCTATTCCATACACAAGGAGTGAGCCGCCTTGGTGTTTTTTTGTAATGGAATTCAACATTGGCCGTACTTCTCCCACAAAATCGAGCCTCCCACCCTGTCCGTCGCTAAGCGGGCTCCCAGGCAGTCAGGCCGTGCTCAGTTGTAAGCAGGGGGAGCCGACTGGCTCCAGTTCGGGAGGCTGTGCCCCAGGTGGTGCTCCCGGCACGTCGAACAATGCTCATCCCACACGCGGGGCCCTGAGCGGGTGACAGCACCCTGCCGTTCGCGCAGACCAAATCCACTGTGGCCTGAGCGGTCCGACCGTGGTCGCAGGGCCAGCTCCTGTCCGGGCACAGCTCCGTGCTCTCCGGCCATGCTCTAAGAAGCATTTTCAATCTAAAACGAAGCTTTGACCTAGCTCCAGGGATTCCCTGCTCCTGGAAGGAGGAAATCCGCGGCGGCTGGGATGTTCTAGCAGATGAAGCCAACAAGCCCCTCCTACCTGAGTTGTTCTACCCTGTTAACAGCACAGGTAGGAGCCAGTGGGAGAGCTGGATTTCTCATCCCATTTTGTAAAACGAGAACGGCTCATGAGGGATTGGCAGTGACTGGGAGCCATGGACATGAGATAGGAGCTGAGGCTGTGTCTGTATTCCGGGCGGGCGGGGCGGGAAAGGACTGCTCAGTTCTCGGCTGCCTCCGTTGACCCTGATCCACTAACCGGGACGCGGGTGGTGGCGGGTGCTTCTCTCCCTTTGCCGTTGAAGATCCTGCCCGTGGAGACCGATAAGAAGCCGCAGGGGAAGCAGCTGCAGACCCGAGCCGACTACCTGCTGAAGCTGCTCAGGAAGAGCCTGGAGAAGAAGGGGGCCGTGACAGGCGGGGAAGAGGTGAGTGCGGCTGCCACCGGGCGGCTTCGGGGCTCTGAGGCTCCGGCCCTGCAGGTTAGGGGGGGCAGGTGCCCCCTGTGGCCGCCGCCCAGACGGAACCTCTCCAGTCAGGTGCTGCTTTTTTTCTTTTTTCAAATAAGTTCTTACTGATTTCAGAGAGAGGAAAGGAGAGAGAGAGAGAGAAACATCAACGATGAGAGAGAATCATGGATCAGCTGCCTCTTGCACGCCCCCTACGCGGGATGGAGCCTGCATCCAGGCACGTGCCCTGACTGGGAATTGAACCGTGACCTCCTGGCTCATAGTTCGACGCTCAAACACTGAGCCACACCGGCCGGGGTCAGGTGCTGCTTTTGAGGTCCGAGTAGGGATGGTTGGTTGGTCATACTGGGAGTGTTCATTTAATTACTCACCTAAGCTAAGCATCTTGGCAGCTTGCTTACAATATGGCCTCAAAAGAGTCCTCCTCGCTCTCAGAGCCACCCGGTACAGACATACTGCTGCTGTTTCTTTATGCCGCTGCCTGGATTTTGGAACATTCCAGTAACTGTCTGAATACCACCGGGTTTGCCTGAGGTTACTCCTAACTCCCAGCTGCTTGTCATACTGGCCCAGGGATAAAATGGGTCATTGGAATCCACAGTTAATCAAACAGTGGGACTTGCGTTAGGATTGCCTTACCTGCTCAGTGAAAAAGACCAAGTGAGTTACTAGTGACTCATCTGAGCTGTATCCTTTCATTTTCCCAACTTTCCGTTTCAATGCAGACTTAGAAAGATGTAGGCACAGTTAGAAGATGGTAAGTTACATCCGGTTCTAGCAGCCTATGTGTGTGCTCCTTCGGTTCTCCTAGAGCTACGTCATTGGTGTTAACGTCCCTGTCTTACAAACAAAATGAATTTTAGGGGAAAAAGTTATCCCAACCCCATGCCTTGTCCTTTTTCATGTAATAGTATCACATAAGTAGTGTCATTCTCAAGGTAATATGTTGAGTGTATATTGTCAGTCTCTCCTAGAGAGAGAGAGAGATTAAGAACATGTTTATACTCGAATTAGATTTGATTGAGTAGATAAACACCTTTTCCTTATTTTTAGATACCGTGTGCTTCTGGGTGTGTTTTTATTTATTTATTTATTTATTTATTTATTTATTTTTTTATCGATTTCAGAGAGGGAAAGGTGAGGGAGAGAGAGAGAGAAACATCATTGATGAGAGGGAATCATTGATTGGTCGCCTCCTGCATGCCCCCTACTGGGGATCGAGCCTGCAACCGTGGCATATGCTACACCTGGGAATCTAACTGAACCGTGACCTCAAGGTTCATAGGTCAACGACCCCCAACCACTGAACCAGCTGACCGGGTCCTGGTTTTTTCTTTTAATGTTATATTATTGTCTTTTGCGAATTATCTTTATACATAAGGTGTTTTTCCTTCATTTGAATTATATCTTCAGGATGAATTCCAAAAAAAGGACTCCGTAGGCTCAAGGCGATGGTTGTTCTTCTGGGGCGTAGGCTGTGTGTGAGGCCTCCAGCAATGCTGGTTGCGCCCCTTTGAATTTCTCCTTTGACTTACGCGGCTGCTGCTGTTTCAAAGACTCATCCGTGGTACTTGGCCGTGCTGGTAAGGGACTGGGTTTGCCGTGTTGTCATCCTTCCTCTCCGTCTCCAGGCCAAGTTAAAGAAGCGGAAGCCTCGAGTCAAGAAGGAGAACAAAGCGCCCAGGCTGAAAGACGAGCGGGGGCTCGACTTCTCGTCCCCCAGGCACTCGGACAACCCATCCGAGGAGGGGGAAGTGAAGGTGAGGCTGCCTCTCCGCGCGGGGCTGGCTCTCAGGCTGCACTTGCTGTGCGGGTGGCACAGAACCGTTCAGATAATGTAGAATATGTATGTCTTTTCCTAACCGGAGAGGGAATGTCGCTGTTCCTTTAAGTCGGTGACTGCACCTTCACAGATAATGGACGTGACTGGGGAGAGCCAAGGGGGTCTCAATGCTAAGGGGCAGCTGACACGCAGACTCCCTGTTGGGGCGATAGGCAGTGGTGGGGACATACCGGGAGCTCCCGGCAGGGGGCAGCTGCTTCCCTGCTCAGTGTGTCGCTGGGCCAAACGAAACTCGCCTGTGGGTGGGGATTGGCCCAAGGCGGCCAGTTTGTAACCTCTGGTCTAAGCCAAGTGGAACGTAAACCAGCTTCCTGGAGGGAGTGGCAGCGTTCCGGGATTTTATTTTGTTCCCCTCGGAAATTCTGCTTTGAGATGAACTCCAAGGCGGTGAGCAGTGGGTCCGGGACTAGATGGATTTGAGTCAGGCAAACACGAATTCAATACAGGACTCTCACAGGTCACTAGCTGACAGCTTTCTAACCGCGGGTCCTCGGTGTTGTCTGTCTGTGAAATGGGAATGATCAGGCCTGGGTTGAAGGTTGCTGTGAGAATTAAAGAGACCAAGATGTAAAGCCCCTGCTGGCTCACCTGGGCGTCCCCAGAGTTTAGGGCTGTGTGCGTGCTTGCAGGCTGTGTGCTGGAGAACACGCGTCTACATGTAGGTCCGTGGGGAGCCACTGGGGGCAGTGCTGCCTTCCCCAGGAAGCAAATGAGTCCGTGGAAAGCCAGTGGCCTTACCCATAGCCCTGCTTGTGTTCTAGGATGATGGCTTAGAAAAAAGTCCCATGAAAAAGAAACAGAAGAAGAAGGAGAACAAGGAGAACAAGGAGAAACAGATGGGTTCCAGGAAAGACAAAGACGGGGACAAGGAAAGGAAGAAGTCGAAAGACAAGAAGGAGAAGGTACCTGCGTCATTCTCCTTCCTGAGCTACCCGTAGCCTCTGACGTTCCGTCTAGGATTTAGAAACAGAACAGGGCTGAGGGCCCTGAAATCACCATCTCTTTAAGGCTACCTCCGAGAAGGAAGGGGTGGGGCTGTCAGCGTGAGCACGCCTGCACCTCTGCCTGCAGAGAGAAGGGAGCGTGAGGTTTAGGCAGTTCTCTCAGACAGAAGGCCTTGCGTGCAGTGTTTTTACATGTTTCAGAGGGGAAGTTTGAGTGAGAGAGGACAGGTGAGAGAAATGTGCATTTACAGGGAACTGCTTAAGGCACTTTTCACATTCATGATAGAAGAGCACAATCCACAGATGAATTTGAAGGGTTCAGGATTCAACCCAAATACCATCAAGAGTTAAGCTTTTGGAATAGAATTGGGTGAAAAGCCCTGCTATTATATAACCTCCCTTTGGGGGTTTTATGAAACTCATTCCAAGCCTCAGAGTTCTGGTACAGGGTTGCATGTATGCTTGCTGACTTCTAATGAAGTTACTATGCAATTAGTCCCTATTCATCGTTAAAACAGACGAGTAAATGCTATAATTCTACCATGTAGTCATAGCCCTAGATTTCTTGTGAGCACCTTTGGGACTTTTGTGCATGTAAGAACAATGATAAAATACACATCAGACCAGACAGAGAGGTCTTTCTCACTTAGCAGTATATCGCACACAACTTTCCAAGTGAATAACATTTTTCGTAGATAAGATCCTGTCTGGTTATAACAGCTTGGAAACAGTTTACATCTCCCCAATCAAGATTGCTTCCAAATTTCTAATGCTATAAACCATCCTGTGACGGATGCCTTTGTATTTATGCTTCCCAGAGGTATACCTTATTTTAAAAAGTGAAATATTTCAAAAATAAAAGAATAAAGGACGATGTAAAAAACATCCATATATCCACTACCCAGATATTACAGCTTCTTTTGCTACGTATTATGTAATCACAAACAAAGTCTTGTTTAATGTTTTTAAATGCCCATACACGATGCCATTTTATATGTATTTATATATATCTCTACACTCTTCGGCAGCCTTTCATGGACAAACGAGATGGATCCACTTGGATTTGTGCAGATTCAATCATTCACAATATTTTCATTAATAAAAATGTCTAGATCAAAGTGTATATTCATTTATAAGCTGGTAATAAGCACTGCTATATGTTACTGTACCAGATCTCTGCCAGGTTACACTCTTAGTCCCTTGATGACACTTTTGTGCATTTTATGGACGAGGGAACAGAAGCCAAAATAGCACTGATGAATCTGAAGTTAAGATGGGGTACGTTTGGAGGCAGAAAGGGAATGATATGTGATGAAGCTATCAATCATGATTTCCCAGAGGACTTTATTTTACTTTTTTTAAAAAAAACATGTTTCTATAGAGAGGAAGGGAGAGAGAGCATCAGTGATGAGAGAGAATCATGAATCGGCTGCCTCCTGCACGCCCCATACCAGACTGAACCTGCAACCCGGGCATGTGCCCTGACCAGGAATCGAACCGTGACCTCCTGGTTCCTAGGTCGACGCTCAACCACTGAGCCACGCCGGCCGGGCTGTTGTACCTTTTTTATAGACCGAGTCCATCCCCGTTCCCTGCTCTAGTGCTGAGACCTAAGTAGGAAGTCCAAACTGCCAGGCACGACTGCGCACGTGACAGTGACTCCTTGTAACTCTTCTTTAAAAGCCTAAAAGTGCTGATGCCAAATCTTCGAATAAATCCAAGCGATCTCAGGGCCCCGTGCACATCACCGCAGGAAGCGAGCCTGTCCCCATCGGCGAGGACGAGGACGATGACCTGGACCAGGAGACGTTCAGCATTGTAAGTCCTGACACGGATCCGGTGCCATGGAGCTCTGTCCCATCTGCAGGTTTTATTTTTATTTCTTTACTTATTTATTTTTAAAATATATTTTTATTGATCTCAGAGAGGAAGGGAGAGGAGAGAGAGAGATGGAAGCATCAATGATGAGAGAGAATCATGGATCGGCTGCCTCCTGCACGCCCCACACTGGGGATCGAGCCCACAACCCGGACAAGTGCCCTGACCAGGAATTGAACTGTGACCTCCTGGTTCATAGGTTGACGCTCAACCACTGAGCCACACCGGCCAGGCTGATCTGCAGGTTTTAAAGCTCAGAACATAAAATCGAAGCCCCTGCTGTCCCTCAACCTAAACCAGCATTCTCAACCTGTGGGTCTCGACTCCTTTGGGGGTCGAACGACCCTTTCACAGGGGTCGCCTAAGACCATCGGAAAACACATATATAATTACATATTGTTTTTGTGATGAATCACTATGCTTTAATTACGTTCAATTTGTAACAATGAAAATACATCCTGCATATCAGATATTTACGTGACGATTCGTAACAGCAGCAACATGACAGTTATGAAGTAGCAACGAAAATAATTTTATGGTTGGGGGTCACCACAACATGAGGAACTGTATGAAAGGGTTAGGAAGGTTGAGAACCACTGCCCTAAACCCATGCCTTTCCTTGGGTCCCTTCCCAGAAGTGACCACGATTCTAGATTCGACGATCATCCTCACGGGGGATTTTAGACTTTTACTGCGTATGTCTCTAAAGACAGGAATAGTTCCCATAACAGCCAGGCGGTCTCTCTCTGCTTTCTGTGTATTTTTACTACAATAATTATATGACGTAGGCAGTTGCCTCCCTCTTACATATTAAAGAATAAGGTGGAGAGAGTTAAGGGGCTTGTCCTGGGTCTCAGAGCTACAATGTGGAGCAGAGACTTGACCCAGGCAGTTTGGCGAGACAGTGTGGGTCCTGGCCCATCCTCCCACACAGCCTCCATGTGTCCATAACAGCATATAAGATTACTCTCCACCTTGGGAAGTTTCATGTAAAGGCCACACTGCGTGCGTTCTGTTACTGCTGCTTCTCCCTTTGCTCTGAGTTACGATTTCCACAATTTTATTTTTTCTCCTCTTGACGGACATGGGGGTTCTCACAGATGTTTACCGCTACACACAGGCTGCGGTGAAATTGTAAACGTTTTCTTGTGCCCCGTGTGAGAGCTGCTCTAGAGCGCGCGGCTTGAGCGGGAGCTGGGAGTGGCATTGGGCATGCGTGCCCGGCACTTGGTTAGATGTCGTAGAATTACTCTTCGAGGCCAATGTAGACGTTTGCGCTCCTGGCGGGAGTGTGAGTTCAGATCGCTTTCCCAGTCTCAGAAACACGTGGTAGTTTCTGACTTCTTAATTGTGCTCCTCTTCGAAGGGTATGAAATACTGCCTGGTGTTGTAAGTGATGATTTATTTTCATATTTATTGGGCATTTGTGTTTGTAATGAATTGCCTGTTTGGGGTAATTTTTCTTTCCTTACCTTTTCTGTAGGAATTCTTTTTTTTTTTTTATTTAATATATTTTACATATTTTTTACAGAGAGGAAGGGAGAGGGACAGAAAGCTAGAAACATCGATCAGCTGCCTCCTGCACACTCCCCACTGGGGATGTGGCCTCAACCAAGGTACATGCCCTTGACCGGAATCGAACCTGGGACCCTTCAGTCCGCAGGCCTGAGCCAAACTGGTTAGGGCTGTAGGAATTCTTTGTACATTCATGATGCTAATCTTTTATCTGTCAGTCCTTACAAGTATCTTCCAGTTTTTGGTATATTTTAAATGCTGTCCTTTTTGTAAATTGAAGGACAACACTGAAAAATAAAGAGGTTGTAAGTGTATATACGGCTGTGGGAATTGCCACAGTGTTGATGGAAGAGGGTAGGAGGGTCACGATCCTGTCACCTGCCTTATTGGCTCATTGTACCAGATGCTCAGGGGCTGACAACCATGTCCTACACGTTTTGTGATCATTTCCTCCTACGCTCTTAGTTTTGTTTTTATGAAGCTCCTTGTTCTTGGATATTGGACTGTGGAAGTGGTCCCTAAGGTTATCTGATGGCTTGCTAAGCCTCAGGGTCTCACCTCTCTAATTTGTTTTCTGTTGTTCCTGTTAGACACTTCCTTGGAGGCTCTGCAGCCCTAGTTGTCTGCTCACGTTTAAGAGTGGAGACTAACCCTCCCATTGGGGGTGCTGAGCATGTGGGCGGGGCTTGGTGGACTCTGAGCGTGTTCATTGGTGGGTGATGTGGCGGGGCTGCTTCCTGGGAAACTCACCTGGGTGTCTGTCACTGTCTGGGTATCTCTTTTTGTTGTTGTTGTTAATCCTCACCCGGGGATACTTTTCCATTGATTTTTAGAGAGAGTGGAAGGAGGGGAAGAGACCGAGAGAGAAACATCGATTGGTTGCCTCCCTCATGCACTCCGTTGGGAGTTGGGGGGCATGGATTGAACCTGCAATCCAGCTATGTGCCCTGGACCGGAATCGAACCCGGGACCTTCAGTCCTCGGGCCAACGCTCTATCCACTGAGGCGAACCGGCTAGGGTAGTCTGGGTATCTCGTATTCTTCGGCAGTCTTTAAAGAACCCGTTTTATCTTTAGCCCTCGCCCCTACTTCTAGAGACACAGAGCTGGCCTCGGGCGTTTTGGGATGTAAATGATGTGGTCCTCAGCTCTCTCCGGGGGAGGCGGTGTTGGGGGGCATGAAATACTGACTGGTATTGTAATTGATCATTTATTTTCCTGTTTATTGGGCATTCGTGTTTCCAGTGAATTGCCTGTTCCTGTTCTTGGCCTATTTAGGGTAGTTTTGTCTTTCACTGTTTTGTTGCTATTTACAGGGCTTACCTCTTTTGTAAGGCAATCAGTCCCTTTACTGTCAGTTTAGCAGACGTGGGGACGGGGAGAGAAAAAAATTCTTGTGTTCAGTTTGCCGTCCTGATCTGGAAGCAACAACCTCCCCCTTAAAGGACTCTGAATATTTTACCCTGCACTTCCAGCTAGTTTGTGACGGGCGGCTTTTAGACCTGTAATTTTGCTTCTCGTTTGATCTTCATAAAGGCCTTATGGGATTCTCAGGCCCCTCTGGCAGATGCGGAAACAGCAGCATTTTCAGAGACCAAGTAAGGAGTCCGAGTCCTGGCTCCCGGCCAAGCATGTCAAACTCGCGGTTGGCGGGCCGCACGCCTCGTTTAAACAAACGGCGGGCCGCGAGCTGGACATGCTTGCTCTGGGCGGTGGTGCTGGGACGTGCACCTCTGGTGTTTCCGACCTGGCATCGTGCCACGGGCCTCACCCTCCTCTCTCGTGATCACGGGGCACGGGGCGGGCTGTGCGCGCTCTGGGAACTCGGGGCACAGAGAGCAAAGGGGGCCTGACTGTTGCAGTGTAAGGAGAGGATGAGGCCAGTGAAGAAGGCACTGAAGCAGCTGGACAAACCCGACAAGGGGCTGAAGCAGCTGGACAAACCCGACAAGGGGCTGAGCGTGCAGGAGCAGCTGGAGCACACCCGGAACTGCCTGCTGAAAATCGGGGACCGCATCGCCGAGTGCCTTAAAGCCTACTCCGACCAGGAGCACATCAAGCTGTGGAGGAGGTAGCCCTCGGGCCCCCGCTGCCCGGTTTGATTTGATAGAATGTGTGAGCGTGTGCGTGTGCGTGTGCGCCTGCGTGTGTGTGTGTGTATGCGTGCACACGCGCATTGCTTTGTTTTTGTCTTGTAAAGGTGACATCTCCACCCCATGAAATATTTTTTCCCAACATAAGACATCTTTTGGCAACATGCCTATAGCCTTCAGTTTTACTTGCCTGAAATAGTCCGCTCCACTGGGACCCATCTTTTGAATCGGTTGGATGACATCATTCATTAATTTTCAAAAATAGATTTTTTTTCACATGTTTATTGATTTCAGAGAGGGAGAGAGAGAGAGAAACATTAACGATGAGACAGAATCATGGATGGGCTGGCTGCCTCCTGCTGGCCCCCTCCTGGGGATTGAGCCCGTCACCCGGGCATGTGCCACACACAGATACCCGACTGCATGTGGGCCCTGAGCTGGGACATGGCAGGGTCCAGAGTGCGGAAGGTGGAGGAAGACGGGGCCCGAGTGCTGGGTGCCAGCGCGATCCTTAGAACCCCGGCTCCAGACTCCCTGCCACTGACAGTAGCGTGTGAAGCTGTAGTATTGAGGCCGAGACCTGGAGAATTTCTTTCTGTCACTTGAGTTCTACACTTGGGCAGTATTCCACGGCCACGTTCAGTCACTTGCCATCGGTCAAAAGAGAAGAAGAAGTTATTCTGTGAATTCTATAATTGACCAGAACTGTTGTTGTTGTCTTTTTAGGAACCTATGGATTTTCGTTTCCAAGTTTACAGAATTTGATGCTCGAAAGTTGCATAAGTTGTACAAGATGGCTCATAAGAAAAGGTCTCAAGAAGAGGAGGTAAGAGACAAATATAATCCCAGTTTATTCAAACAGACAACACCAATTCCACAGGAAAAGCCCTTCCTTGCGGTTTTCCCCAGGGAGGTGATAGAATCACGTTTGTGGGTGATAGAGGGGCCACTGGGTCCCTGCCCTCACTGTGCGGAGGGAGGTGCAAGTCAGATGGGTCAGGAGCCCCTGCGGCCGTCCTGCCTTGTCCTGCGCCCCCTTCCCTCCGGGAGCGGTGCAGTTTCTCAGCACGCTCCGCTAGGATCCATCTAAAGCCCCGGCCAGGAAATGCCAGAACATTTACTGGCCTTTCAAACAGTGCTGAGTGCTTCTGTCCTGAGCTCATGTATTCACCAGGCTCGCTCTCTCTTTCTCTTTCTTTCTTTCTTTCTTTTTTTTTTTTTTTTAAATATATTTCACTGATTCTTCACAGAGAGGAAGGGAGAGGGACAGAGAGCCAGGAACATCAATGAGAGAGAAACATCGATCAGCTGCCCCCTACACACCCCCTACCTCCACCTAAAGCCCCGGCCGGGAAATGCCAGGACATTTACTGGCCTTTCAAACAGTGCTGAGTGCTTCTGTCCTGAGCTCATGTATTCACAGGCTCGCTCGCTTGCTCGCTCTTTCTCTTTCTTTAAAAATACATTTTTATTGATTGCAGAGAGGAAGGGAGAGGGAGAGAGAGAGAAACGTCAATGATGAGAGAAAATCACTGATCAGCTGCCTCCTGCACACCCCACCCTGGGGATGGAGCCCTCAACCCGGGCCTGTGCCCTGACCGGGAATTGAACCATGACCTCCTGGTTCATAGGTCAATGCTCAACCACTGAGCCACGCCGTCCTGGCTGGGCCTTTTCCTTCATGTGTCCTTGTCTGGTTGTAGCTTACAAATGTCCTGAGGGGTGACGGGACTGTGGCAGGAAACGCCTTTCCTGTGCTTTTCTGGGCCATGGGAACTTGGTGTCCTTCCAACTTTTGTACGTGGTGTCCCAACATGAGAAGGTGCCCACAAGTCGCCCCCCTTTGGTGAGGGGGCGGGCACAGCAGTGACTTGGCCCATGTGCAGGGCAGTGTCCTGGTGCAGACACGTCCACGTGCGGGTCTGCTAACGGGGCACGCGGGCCAGCCTGGGAGGTCGCTGCCTCCTCTGCTAACACGCCAGCCCCTGGAAGGTTCTTTGTCTCTTGTCCTCTGTCGTGACCTCAGCACCCGGTCGAGGCCGGCACAGGGCAGGTGCTCAGCGGCGCTGGTTGCATGAGCCTGTCCCCCGCCCAGCACTGTGTGGGGCTGGGGAGCAGCACCCTAAAGTAGCTGCTCATTTAATTGTCACGGAAGAAGGTGATGTGTGATGTAGCAGTAAACACCGCAGCGACGCACGGACGTTGCTGAGCGTTAGTGTGAATGTTAGTGTGAACGTTAGCAGTGTAGGGCGTCTGGCAGAAAGGGCGGGAAGGAATGGCATCATTGGGAAAGAGTGGAAGTCGGGTGGAGCGTTGGGAGCTGGACACGTGATGTGGGTATCGGAAGCTAGTGTACGCTGAGGATCAGAAGCAGTGACCCTGTGAGTGGGGTAACCATGGCCACAGCCTTTCTGCGGAAGACGCAGTAAGGTTTGTCAGAGACTAAAACATGCAGGTCTCCCGGTCAGAATTTAGTTTAAGGAGATAATGAAGGATGTAAACATGTTTGTGGTGGATGACTTCAATGCTCAACAGTAAGAAATAAATCACAACACAGTCATATTGGGGAGTATTATTCAACTACAATCATAATACTGTGGAAATAAGTATTCACGTGGTATTTTCACGATACAGTAAGTGAAAAATAATACCAAGCAATATTTTTGTTTGATACACACATATATTAAAAAACACAAAATGGCCCTAACCGGTTTGGCTCAGTGGATAGAGCGTTGGCCTGCAGACTGAAGGGTCCCAGGTTCGATTCCGGTCAAGGGCATGTACCTTTGGTTGTGGGCACGTGCCTAGTAGGGAGTGTGCAGAGGCAGCTGATCGATGTGTCTCTCTCATCGATGTTTCTAACTCTCTATCCCTCTCCCTTCCTCTCTGTAAAAAATCAATAAGATATATTAATAAAAATAAAAATCATCATTCTCCCCTTAAAAAACAAAACAAAATAAAAAACACAAAATGGCTTGGAAAGACATGGAGCAAATTATTCATACAATTTTTTTGTTGTTGAGCCTTTAAGTCACTTACATTTCTTCTTTCTTTCTTCCTGCGTGTTCTGACGTTTTGATGGCGAAGATTTTGCGTGTGTGGTGAAGTGGTGGTATTATGCAGACGTTGAGATGTTTAGTTTGATGCCTTTGGAACGGGAGCTAGTTTCCCTGGACCAGTCGGGGGCTGATGCTTAGTTCGCCCAAGAAAGTCAGTGGTTTCCATGGAAGAGGAGTATCTGAGGGCGCTGACAGCCCGGGCGCCTGTCCATGGCCCGTGCGGTGACATGTAGCAGCCCCCACACGTGTTCTTGCAGGTTCTCATCAGTGCGGTTGGCCTAGATCAGGGGTGGGGAACGTGTGGCCCGCGGGCCGTATAAGGCCCATAAAATCATTTGGTCTGGCCCTGCCAAGGCATCGGGGGCGAGTTAATGAAATGTTTGACCAAACAGAGCAGGCTGATTTTTAAGCTGCTAATTTTGTATGGCCCGAGAGTGACGTTATAAATATCCACATGACCCTTGGCAGAGAAAAGGTTCCCCACCCCTGGCCTAGTCGGTCAGAGCAGCAGGTGCGCTCTGAGCTGCCCGCTGTTGGAGCTCAGTGGAAGTGAGCTAGTTGTAGGAAGAAGGTAGTAGTAGTAGATGGCAGGTCAGAAGCCAGCAGGGGCCAGAGGGGGGCCCTGAAGGTGGGGACCTCGATGCCGTTCTTGGGCACTGAGCGTCTCTGGTGTCCTTTTTTCCTCCAGGAGCAAAAGAAGAAAGATGATGTGATGGGTGGTAAGAAGCCATTTCGACCAGAGGCCTCGGGCTCAAGCCGGGACTCTCTGCTGTCCCAGCCCCACACCCCGCACAGCCTTCACCCTCAGAAGTCTCACCTGCCCTCCCACGGCCCGCAGACGCACGGGCACCCGAGAGACAGCTACAACCACCCCAACAAGAGACACTTCAGTAACGCAGGTAGGTCATGGGTGGGACTTGTTAGAGGCGACGAGAGCAGTTATTTATGTTCAGAGACAGTAGGTAGGCTTTTGTGCTGTCTTTTTTAAAAAAAATGCTTTTACTGATATTTAGAGAGAGAAGAAGGGAGAGAGGAGAGAGAGAGAAACATCAGCGATGAGAGAGAACTACCGATCGGCTGCCTCCTGCACGCCCCCTACCGGGGTTTGAGCCCACAACCCAGAAATGTGCCCTTGACCGGGAATCTAACTGACCTCCTGGTTTCTGGGTGGACATTCAACCACTGAGCCATGCCGGCTGGGCTGGGCTGAGCTGTAGTTTGACCATCATTTTATTGTTCTCTTCGTTTTCCAAATGAGATCATGAAATAAAGATCCGAAAGGATGTTCTTTCTGTTTTAATTTGTGTGCGTGGGGCTGGCCACGTGCAGTAAAAGGATGTTCTTTCAGCTTTGACGAGAACATAGTCCCCAAAGCACCAAAGGACAAATGATAGACTGAGGGGAACAATTTACATTCTACATGACAGTTAGATGACTAAAACACTGTTGCTATGGAAAGAGCCCTAGTCAATTGACAAAAAGGGGGTGACCTGATAGAAAAATGGAGCATTGGTCATTTTTTCCGGTACTTAGTAGTGATAGATCTTAGGGCATCAATGGGAACACATTTCAGGTTTCATATAAATTGAGGATGTTCTCCAGCTGTGCATGAATGCTGGCAACTGCACGAGTTTTGACAACTGTTTAAATATGGATTGTTAAGCTTAGGTTTAAAGAGTAAAGCTGGATCGATCTTTGTTACTTGCTTTAAAAAAAGAAAAGAAAAAGAAAAACGGGCCAAGGGTAGGAATACGGAATTCATACGGAAGAGGAAATTCAAATGGCCAATAGGGCAAGCGGACCAACATTGCTACTAGGGAATGTAAATTAAAGCAACAATAAGCTAACTCATTTTTTTTTCACCCATTCAGATGAGCAGAAATTGAAATGTGATAGATACACAAGTTGCTGCGTGTAAATTGCTATAGTCTTTCCAGAAAATAATCTGAAATACTTAAAGCTGTTTCTGGGGGTCTGTCCTGTGGTAATAAAAGCATAACATGTACGAGCTCAGCAAAAATCTGGAAATAACTTGAATGACCATTAACAGGAGAAAGGTCAGATGAGTAATAGGACGTCTCTACTCTTATTATCAGTTAAAAAGAACGAGTTGGCTTTACAGAATTAAAAATGAGGGGAAAAAGCAACACACACAACATGAACTTAACCATTTTAAATGACCAATTTAGTGGCATTTAGTGCATTCATCACATAGTGCAACCAGTACTTTTATCTAGTTCCAGAACATTCCCATGATCCACAAGTGGAAATCCCATACCTATTAAGTTTCTCCCATTTCCCCGTCTCAGCCCTGGTAGACACCAGTCTGTCTTCTGTCTCCCAGGATTTATGTATTCTGGACCCTTCTATGTGGAAACATACAATATGTGTCTGAATTCTCTCACTTGGCAAAATATTTTCAAGGTTCATCCACGTTGTAACGTGTCAACGTTCGATTCCTCTTTGTGGCTGAATACTGTTCTGTTGCGTGGATGCACCACAATGTTTATCAGCTGGTGGGCGCTTGGTTTTGTTTTTATTTCTGGCTGTTTGTGAAAAACACTGCTGTGGAAATTGGTGTGCAAGTAGGTGAATGCCGATTTTCAATGCCTTTAGGTGCATATCTGGGAGTGGAGTTGCTGGGCCGTGTGGTAATTCGGTGTTAAACTTTCTAAGGAAGCGCCCACCCCTGTTTTTCGTCGGGACTTTTTGAATCCTGTGGTGTGCACGCATGGAGAGAGACGTGGAAGCTTGCACACCACGGCCGTTGCTCTGCCGCTGTCTGTTCTCCAGCCGTGTCCTCAGCCTGAGCTCAGAGTCACACGGCTCCCCGGTGGCTGCAGAAGTCAGCCCTTCCCTCTTTGAGGTCTGCTCTTTGGAATCTTATTCCTTCTAGTCCTGATTTTTGCTTTGGCGGCTCTTTGATGTCATTAAACAGGTTCTTTTTTTGTTTATCTGGCCTTTTTTTTAAATAGTATATTTTTATTGATTTTGGAGAAGAATGGAGAGGGAGAGAGAGAGAGAAACATCAATGATGATAGAGAATCACTGATCGCCTGCCTCCTGCACGCCCCCCACTGGGGATCGAGCCCACAACCCGGGCATGTGCCCTGACCGGGCATCGAATCGTGACCTCCTGGTTCATAGGTCAATGTTCAATTACTGAGCCACGCCGGCCGGGCTAACGTTTGCTTTCTGAGTGACATCTCATTTTAATGCTCGGACCCAGGTTGGAAGGTGAGCAGGTGGACAAAAAGCAGCAGTGGTTCTTAAGATTTCAGAAGGAGAAAGGCGGGGAATTTTCTTGTGCCTTACAATTTGGGGGAAGCATGGTGGGACTCATTACTGGTGTGTGAGCAGCAGCAGCAAGGAGGAAATTCGATGTCTGTTTATACCACGTGTCAGCCTCTCAGTTTAAACTGCAGTGGAAGTGGAACTTGGTCACCCCTCGCAGTCATGAGACACGCTTGCTCTCCCGCAGATCGAGGCGACTGGCAGCGGGAAAGGAAGTTCAACTACGGCGGCGGCAACAGCAACCCGCCCTGGGGGAGTGACCGGCACCACCAGTACGAGCAGCACTGGTACAAGGACCACCACTACGGGGACCGGCGGCACATGGACAGCCACCGTTCCGGCTACCGACCCAACAACCTGTCCCGAAAGAGGCCCTACGACCAGTACAGCGACCGGGACCACCGGGGACACAGAGACTATTACGACAGGTACGCAGAGGGACACAGCTGGCTGCCGCCCGGAGCCTCACCGTGTGTAAGGGGGAGAGACGGGCGGCACGTGCACGAATGTGTTTATCTCATCACGTGCCCAGGCGTGGTCCCAAGATGGAGCAAACATCCGTGCCACCGCGGCATCTTCGCAGTGTTGGGAGGGATCAGGGTGTAGGCAGCTGACGCCATGCTGGCTGGCTGGTTGATAGATATCAGGGACTTCTGAGTTTCTCTTGGGGCTGAGGAAGAGGTGGGTGGGGCTGTGATGCTTGATTTGGGCCCTGAATCGTCAGCTAAGCAGAGCGATGGGGTAGGCCTCACGGGCCCAGGCCCAGGATGGGCACCCAGACGAACAGAGTGGAAATTGGGAGGCCTCCAGTGCCAGGTGTACGTTTCAGTCTCTGGCTCGTAAGGAGCCCTGTGGTCCTCTGGCTTCCTCACGTCTGCACTCTGAGCAGTGTTCACTGAGGACTCAAGGGAGGCCCCCTGCAGAGCCCTGAGCTGCTGCGTGCAGAGCTGTGGTTTGCCTCCATCCTGGGAGCTCCAGCGGCAGCAGTTCTGCTCGCACCCAGGCTCTCGGCTCAGGATGTCTGCTGGGCTTCGGTCTCCCCTTCCCTTCGCGGAGGCCTGGGAACGGCTGCAGCAGCGAGCGGGGCGGTGACAGGCTCATCGCATGAGCTCCCCCCTCCTCAGGAACCACTAGTGTTGGCTGCCTTACATCTGACGTGGTGTCTTGAAAACCTGTGCTGCCTACGTTTTGTCTCTCTCTGGTTGTTTCCGGCAGGAGGGTCCGTCTAGACCAGTGATGGTGAACCTTTTGAGCTCGGCGTGTCAGCATTTTGAAAAACCCTAACTGAACTCTGGTGCCGTGTCACATACAGAAATGTTTTGATCTTTGCAACCATAGTAAAACAAAGACTTATATTTTTGATATTTATTTTATATATTTAAATGCCATTTAACAAAGAGAAATCAACCCAAAAAATGAGTTCGCGTGTCACCTCTGACACGCGTGTCAGAGGTTCGCCATCACTGTTCTAGCCCCCAGCCCTCCACCTTGACTGGAGCCTGAAGTCACCATCCACCTCTTTCTCATTCTCTCTTCTCATAGAGGTGAAACTCACACAGCCTAAATGAACTATTCTATTTTATTTATTTTTAATATGTTTTTGTCAATTTCAGAGAGAGGAAGGGAGAGGGAGAGATAGAAACACCGATGATGAGAGAGAATCATGGGTCGGCTGCCTCCTGCACGCCCCCCACTGGGGATCGAGCCTGCCATCCGGGCATGTGCCCTGACCGGGAATCAAACCGTGACCTCCTGGTTCATAGGTTGACGCCCAACCACTGAACCACACCGGCCAGACATAATTACCTATTTTAAAATGAATAGTTCAGTGACATTTGTACAACCACCGCCTCTATCGAGTTCCAAAGCACTGTCATCACCCCAGAGAAAACCCCGGAACCATTAGCAGTCAGTCTCCATTCTGCCTTCTCCCCAGCTCCTGGCAGCTACCAGCGTGTACTCATTCTTTGGAATTCATTCTGGATATTTTGCATAAATGGAATCAGTCAAAATGTGGCCTTCTGTGACTGCCTTCTTTGAACACTCAGCCTATAGAGCAGTGATGGCGAACCTTTTGAGCTCGGCGTGTCAGCATTTTGAAAAACCCTAACTTAACTCTGGTGCCGTGTCACATAGAGAAGTTTTTTGATCTTTGCAACCATAGTAAAACAAAGACTTATATTTTTGATATTTACTCTATATATTTAAATGCCATTTAACAAAGAAAAATCAACCAAAAAAATGAGTTCATAGGTTCGCCATCACTGCTATAGAGGCTCATCCAAATATATCTACGTATATCAGACTTTATCCCATTTTTTGCCGAATCACATTCCATTGTACTGAGGTGCCACCTTTTGCTTATCCGTTCGCCCATTGGGGGGCGTCTGAGTCGTTCCCACCTTTCGGCTGTTGTGAATAGCGCTGCTGTGAACCTGGGAGTGGACTCGTTAGTCATGCGGTGCTTCTATGTTTAACTTTTTAGGAACCACCTAACTCCTTTTCCATAGAGGCCGAGCCACTTTGGCATTCCTACCAGCAGTGTATGAGAGTTTCAATTTTCCCCCTTCTTTGCAATACTAGTTTGCTGGGTTTTTAAAAACTACAGTCATCCTAGTGCGTGGGAGCAGTATCTCATTGTGGTCTTGGTTTGCATTTCTCTAATGATTCACGTTCATTCAGGATGGTGAGCATCTCTTCATGTTTGAGACAGATGTTTGCCAAAGTCTCTCACCCATACAGTGGGGCCTTGACTTACGAGTTTAATTCGTTCCGAGACCGAGCTCCTTAACTCAAATGACTCTTATCAACTCAATGCAAAAAATCGGCCGAGAGACAGCTGGTATCTCAAAAAACTCGTTAGTCGGGACACTCGTAAGTCAAGGCCCCACTGTGTTTGAATTGGATTGTCTTTTTGTTGTTGATTTGTAACAATTCTCTTTTACTCGGATAAGCAGTTTACCATGGTCCTACGTAAAACATTTACTATTTTTTGCATTGAGCCAAATTAAAAAACAAACATGTTTATTGATTTTTAGAGAGAGAGCAAGGGAGAGAGAAAGAGAAACATCAATGTGAGAGTGGAACATCGACTGGCTGCCCCCCACACTCCCCCTTACGGGGGATCAAGCCCGCAACCCGGGCATGTGTCCTGACTAGGAATTGAACCGGCAGCCTATTGGTGCCCGGTGCTTAACCACGGAGCCACACGGATGAGGGCCCAGTTTGTAAAGTAATTAACTCTTCACCTATGGCTGAATATTTAGGTTGATCGTAGAAGTTCCAGAATCAGTCCTGCGGCTCTTTTTCTCCTGCACTGGGCCACGGAGCATGGCATTGCGTGGGGATCTTGCCAGTTTTCCGCAGGGAGAACGCGTGTCCAGAGCCACCAGTGGTTCACATGCTGCTGGTTTCATGGCCGCTTCATGAGGCTGTGTCGCTTTGCCAATGAGTACAAAATAGCCCTTTGTGGTTACTTTAAAAAAAAAAAAAATATATATATATATATATATAATTTATTGCTTTCAGAGAGGAAAGGAGAGAGAGAGAGAGAAATATCAGTGATGGGAGACAATCATTGATGGGCTGCCTCCTGCTGGGAATCGAGTCTGCATGTGCCCTGACCGGGAATCGAACCGTGACCTCCTGGTTCAGAGGTCGACGCTCAACCCCTGAGCCAGGCTGGCGGGCAGTCACTTTTGTTTTTGGTTCCTGGTGATGTGAGGCCTGAGGAAGAGCCCTGGGCAAGGAAGGGGGCGCCGGCCGTGCTCCCAGCTGATCCTTGCGTCTCTGTTGCAGGCACCACCACGACTCCAAGCGGAGGCGATCGGACGAGTTCAGGCCCCAGAACTACCACCAGCAGGATTTCCGACGGATGTCTGACCACCGCCCCCCGATGGGCTACCACGGCCAGGGACCCTCAGACCACTACCGCTCTTTCCACACAGACAAATTGGGGGACTACAAACAGCCCCTGCCCCCCCTGCACCCCGCCGTCTCTGATCCTCGCTCGCCCCCTTCGCAGAAATCTCCTCACGACCCCAAGTCCCCCCTGGATCACAGGTCTCCTTTGGAGAGATCCCTAGAACAGAAAAACAACCCGGATTATAACTGGAATGTTCGGAAAACATAGAGGACGGCCCGGGAGGAAGGGGCGAGCGAGGGTCCTTGCGCACCTGGCTGATTGTGGTCTGATCCAACGGGAGCCCGTTACCTAGACCAGTAAGTGGAGATTCTGGACACGCTGCTGCCGCCATCTCGCCAGCTGAGGGGCGCCTGCCTCCGGGAGTGAGGGCTCGGTCTGGTTGCCCCTTCCTGCTCGAGGCACCCCATCCGTTCCAGCCTGCTCTGGCCTCCCACTGAGGGGTGCTCGGAGGAAGAGTGACTTTTGTGTCCCAGCCCCGGGGCTGTGTCTCCCCAGGGAGGGAGGAAGGGATCTTAGGCGCAAATGTTTCATGGTCAGGGTCCCTGCCCAGCCTTGCGCGCGGGGTCCGGGGAGGAAGGTGTGCGTGAGGGCTGCCGGGCCTGCTGGACCGTGCGTGGTGTGGGTCACGGTGACAGACGATGCTGCTGATGGGAGGGGGGCGGGGGGTCAAGTGGGTGGGGTCTCCCGTCATAGGACGTGAAGGGGGGGAGCAGGTGCACCCCCTGAATGTGTTCTGGGGACAAGTGATCCCCTGGGCCTCTTGATGTGACACCTGCTAACGTTGCAGGGGGTGGGGGGCAGAGAGGGGAGCAGCTCACCGCGGCCCCTTCCCCACAAACACTAATTTTCCCACGCTGTCTGTACATTTCAAAGCTGCGGCCTCCCGGGCCTGCCGGGCCGGGGAGCGAGGTCGGTGCGGCCGCCTTGAGGCTGAGTCTGGAGAAGGCGTGGGTCCGGCTGGGTTGGGAGTGGGCAGGGTGGGGGATGTGTGACCGGAAGTGAGTCCCTGAGGATTTCCGATCCTGGGACAGGAAGTAAAACTCCAGGGCCCGGTGGTGGGGGTGGGGGGGCAGAGGCAGGCCTGCTGGTGGGAGGGGGGTGCCCATGCAGGTGGGAGGAGGTTCCCCAGGGGGTGGCAGTGCCAGCAGGTGGGGGAGCTCTCCGTGTTGTGCTAGGTCAGCATTTGCCGATTGCATTTTAGTTCCCTTTGCAGAGTTGAAAGAAGCGATGACAGAGTCACATCTCCTGAGAGCATGGGGGGGAGGGGCCGCCGAGAAGCCGGTGGTTACCTGTGTTGTCATTGGAACTGAATCAGTTTCTTTTAGAACGAGCTCAGCTGAGTTATAGGCCGAGTCCTTTCTTCCCACGACAGGCGTCCGAGGACTGAGCTGCAGGCAGTGCGCGCGGAGGCTGGGAGGCAGGTGTCCTGTCAGTTACGCAGGCTCCTGTCATGTTCCCGAGCCGGGCCTGCTGTCCCCTTCGCTTTCCACGGCTTGTCAGTATTGTGAGCGCAGCCCAGGCCTTCGTGGACGGAGGCAGGAAACCGCCTGGAACGTGTCCCGGCCGGAGCTGGTGAACCCCTCCAGGGGGCGTGCTCAGCATTCACCTCCCGGGACTGGCCTGTGGGCGCTTCCTAAGATCACTCCCCCATCCTCTCCTGGCCCCCGGGCCGCACCACTGATGCCTTTGCTAATGAACCCCGAGTTGCATCCCGAGGGAAGCAGGTGTGGCTTTGGTGGCTGCGTGGCTTCGGTGGCCGTGGCTGCCTGCTGCACAGAGCACCCCAGGCCTGGCCAGAGGAGAGTCTGGGTCCTCTCAGCTGGTGCTGGGGTCAGTGGCCCATCGCCTCCTGGTACTTAGTTGGGGTTCTTCACGCCAGGCGTGTGCCAGGCATGCCCTGAGGCGGAGCCCGAGGAAGGCCCGGGAGGCCCTGCCTGCAGCCACCCTCTGGGAGGCGCTGTGACCGCTCAGTCGGGGGAGGTAAACCAGGTCTCAGCTTTGGCCACCACCCTCAGCTCCTTGCTGACGGTTCTAACCCTGCCCCATGTTTGAGTTGCCCTGGACACAGAGGAAGGTGGGGTTGGCCTGCCAGGGCCCGGAGTGATGGGGGTGGGTGGGCAGGGATGAGCCCCAGCGCCTTCCCCTGCAGGACGTGGGGTCACGTCACTTCCTCGGGAGGCACGACGGTTCCTTTTACTACGAAGAGGCCCATTGGAGGCCCTGCCTATCTGTCAGGGACTTCTGTTGTCAGTGGGAGATGTGAGTTATTCCCAAAGATGTCGCATCATGAGGACAAAGGGACCCCTCTTGTTTGCAGCGAGGACTCCGAGTGCCATATGATGTAGCAAAAGGCAGTATCGGCCAGATCAGTGTTAGCTCGATTATGGAATTGCAGTATCCCCATGCGCGCATCTACTGGAGGTGCGCGCAGTGTGTCTGCAGGGCGTGCGGGAGGCGGGAGGCCCTCCTCAGGGGCCCGAGTCGGGGTGAATGCTGTGCACTCAGATTAAACCCGAGATTGGCACAGTGGGGACCTCTCTCCCCGAGGGTGGGGGAGGCTGCCCGGGAACCTGTGAGGATGGTTCCCATGGCGCCCGGCTCGGACAGATTGCAGAATTGGGAAGAAAGAGCAGGATCGAGGCGGAGGGAGGTAGCCTCACCTGAAACCCCAACATAAACAAGGATCAACACCGTCTCCTGTCGCCCCAGAAACGGACCCACGAACCCAAAGTCCCCTGGAGAGACCCGGCCAGGCTCCGAGGGGCCCTCCCGAGGGCCCAGCGCCCCCTCCTGTCCTTCCCTGAGCCCCCCCTGGGAAGCCAGACCCTTCCCACATCGGCCTGGTGTCTGATCGCCGCATCGGGACGTGCGGTGCAGACGCGGTAATTCTCACGGCGACGGCGACGCTGAGATCCCGCAGACCAAACGCCCGGCCCAGGCCTCCCGCTTGTCTGGGGCCGCCGAGGCGCCAGGCTGCAGGCCCAGGCTCCTTAGTCCCATCTGCGCCCCCCGCGTTCGGGGACAGGTGGTTTTTTTTTTTCTTTCTTGTAAAATTGTGGACTTTTCAAACCTGTTGACTAAACAGTAATTAATTTATATTTGTGAGAAATGCCACAGTCCTGGTGATTTCTGATGTAAATACTGTTGTTTATAGAGTATGTATTAAATTTTCCTACATTGTAAAACTGCTGCACGTTTGAGTCTTGGATACTGAAAGGGTTACCTGGGGTTTTGAGAATCGGGCGAAGGTGACGCAGTGCCTGGGGGGTGAGCTGGGACCGGCCGCACCTTTTATTACGTGTGTTTTTCCCTGCACAGCACCCCCTGCTGTTGGGACCGGGACCTCACACCACGGGTTCTAAGGCTTCCCTGAGTGGCCACGGCTGAGGTTGTCTCTGAGCAACTCTAGCCGGTCGCCTGCATCCCGCGCTTGGTGAGATGGCCTGGGGGAGCCGCAGGTGACCGGGGATGCCTCTGCCGACCCGTGCCCGTCCACAGGGGTCCCCCAGCCCCTCTCTCCATAGGAAACAAAAACACCGTGTCTGCCAGCCTGCGGCCCGGCCCCGAGGGCGAGTTAACAGTCGGGTTATATATTCTTGAAGGGAGGGAGAGCGCATTTTATAATGGAAACACTGACACGAATGTTAGCTCTAGCAATTTGGCACGGGGCAGGCTCAGCGCCGGCCGGCCTGCGAGGCCCAGACAGAGGAAGGGAGGCCCTGGCGAGCGGGCGGGGATCCCGGCCGAGCAGGGGCTAGAAGCCGGCCAGACCCAGGGGGGGTTTCTGATACTTCAGTGACGGGGAAACCAAACTTCTCATCTCTGTGGCTCTTCATTCCTGGGACGTCCAGGAGGCCTGGCTGCGGGGCCTCACAGGAGAGCCCGGGGTTCACTGCATGTAGTTCTTAGCAAAAGACTTGAAGAAGCCCTGGCCGGTGTGGTTCAGTGGATAGCGCGTCAGCCTGTCGATTCCGGTCAAGGGCACGTACCTCGGTGGCAGGCTCCTCCCCGGCCCGGGCCCTGGTCGGGGCGCCTGCAGGAGGCAGCCAATCGATGTGTCTCTCTCACATCGATGTTTCTCTCTGTCTTTCCCTCTCTCTTCCACGCTCCCTAAAAACCAATGGAAAAAGATCCTCGGGTGAGGACTGAAAAAAAGAGGGAAAAAGAAAGACTCAGAGAGGAGTTGAGGTCCATCGGCCGTGTTGCAATTCGCACTCGGCTGGGCTGACTTGGGAGTCTAAGAGCAAGTGCTGCAATCATCGGCTTGTTATGATTGCAATAGCAACGGAGCTGCCCAGCTTCTC